AGACCCAGAGCTGGCTGACTCGCAACAGAGGCCAGAATCTTTGCTTCTCCATGTCTCCGTGGGGCAGGTACTTTGTGACAACCTGATCCTTGTTGCGTAAGTTCCGGTCCCCGGTAGAGTCCTTGTCCGATGCAAACTGATAGTAGAACTCGTCTAGGGTCGTAGGCTGGTGAATCACCGAGTTTTCGTACGCCCTGAAGAGCTCTTGACGGATATCTATCTCGGCTTGGAGCTTTTTCTCGAGGTCATCTACACGGCCTTCCTCGGCCGTCATCTGCTCACCACTCTCATTCTGGTGGTATGTTGAAAAATACAGATAGGGCATCTTGACTGATATGAGGCCGTGAAAGGGTATGGCGACTTGGGGAACGAATACTTACATAGATGGCCGAAACAGCAAATGACTTGCCTTTGTCTGCCTCGCCACGATCTGTGTCGACCGCCTGCACAGCCCTGCTGACATGGGAATGGCTGTTTCCTTCTACTTCTCGCTCTGCAGTACGAGTAATTCCCTCAGAAGGAATGCTTGGCTCTTCTCTTGGATAGTCTTCGCTGCTGGGCACTCGTTCACTGGCATCTTGTAGCGCATTCTCGTTTTCTGCATCTTGCTCAGTCGAAATTTCTGCCTTCTTGACAACGTACCGGGGCCTCATGAAGCGGGAAGTGGACGTTCTGTCTGGGATTTCGATCCAGCTACTGCGTAGAAAGGAGGCCACCTTTTCGGCTTCGCTCCTACCGCACCCTTCTCCTTTTAGTATCTTCTTCGCTGTATCCTGTATTATGAATAGAATCAGCTTTCACATAGCCCTCATAACTTAGAGAGGTTCTTCTGGGCCAAGAATTTCTCACCTCCATCCAAACCATCTGTTCCTGGTCAGCATAAAACTTTCAACGCCCGAGATTTGAGAAAGAACTTACGTTGGTTGACGGGAAATGGATCCAAGTGAACTGGGCCCTGGTCTTGGCGTTTTCCCGGAATTCTTCTGATGTTTGCGATGTTTGCTCGGAAGAGACGTTGGGCGTATACTCGAATTGCTTGAGCCTTTTGGCAATGTCCTGCATGTGGTCCATCGACTCGTCATCATACAGGACCTCTTGTATCGTTCGAAACTTGACAAAGTTGCTCTGGATGATCCCTGCGCGGAAATTCTTCAAGCTCGGTTTCATGCTCTCCCTTGGCTTGGATAACTCCAACGGTTTGGTGGGCTTTTCAGCCTTCTCTGGGTAGAGGTAGTCTAGAATGTCCTCCATGTCTCTCAAAACTTGAGCATCTTTGCCTGAATCGGCCCCGATCGTCGGCGGGCCACGGTCTCCCTTTCGTCTCTTCCCTTCCGCCATGGGTGCCGAAGATTGCCGCACTTCCTCCTTTAGTTTCTCAACCAAGGCACGGCCATTGGAGATGCTCTTATCGATCTTGTCGTCCTCGCTAGTCCTCTTCTCCAGGCCTAATGTTCGGAGGTAGGTCAGGAGTACCCGTGGCATGCGCGCGACAATCGCCCACTCGACTATCGTCCATTGATCTTGCTTGAGATCTTGGCCAATCTCTGCAGCAAACTTCTTCTGGAAAAGGTTCAAAGCAAAGGTGTGTCGCTCTAAGCGGTAAGCGGCCCAGCAAAGCGGTTCCTCTGTTGATTCGCCTTCAACGAGGCGATCAACAAGCGAGTTTAACAGGGGCTTGAAATCAGGTATTGGCCTCTTTTCATCCTCGTCAAACGCACCGTCAAATGCTGTCTCCCCATCCTTGTCTAGGTGCAGGAGCCTATTGATGGACAACAAATTGACCAGTTTCAATGCCACACCTGTGTAGGGCTCTGCCCCCATGCAGTAACCAGGGGCCAGTGCATGGTGTAGCGCAGTCTTGCCCTCATTGTCAGTCATGTTGACATCTGGACTCATCCGAAGAAGATCTGCAATGTATATGGCCGATTCTCCGGATGCGTCAGTACTCAGTTGCATCAAGGGCGTCATGCCATTGTTGTCTGGTAAGTTGACAACGTCTCGTTCGGTCGGATTCTCTTGTAGGTGCTTTAGCAACCTTTGGAATATGTGGTATAGACCCCCTTTGATCGCTGTCATCAATGGCGTCCATCCGTCCGTGTCCGTGATGCGGAGACTTGCGCCTCCTTCCAAAAGGATATCAACCACATCCTCACACTCGTAGTATATTGCTTTGTTGAGTGGAGTCCACTCTGCGCCGCCGACGGTCCTGTTGATGACGAATCCTCCAGGGCCAAGCAAATCACGCACCACTGTGGCTTCAAAGCCACGAACGACAGCTGAATGAAGAGGGTAGGTGCCAGACGCGTCCGTGTGCTCGGGATCGGCGCCCTTCTCGAGCAACATCTCCACCAGTTCCTGATCCCCATAGTCGCAGGCCAGGTGCAATGGTAAATCACCGCTACCATTCTTAATATTGACCTTGGACCCAGCTGCGAGGAGTTGACCTGCCACCTTGTTGAGGCCTTTCCGAACCGCCATGTGGAGCGCCGTGTCTCGATGTTCTGGGGACCGGACATCGATGATGTCCTTCCATTGGTCCAACAACTTTTCGAGCTTGTAGGAGTCGTAGTCATCATCCTCAACCCTCTCCAGTAGCTCATGCAATGGCGTCAGTTTCCAGTCTTTGCAATGGTCACTGTCATCACGAGTGTCATCTTCGGCTATGTCATGGTAGCCACTCGACTCCTCGATCTTCGTGCGCCAAGAGTCAATTCGCTGGCTTGTGGTTAATGAAGGCTCATATTTGCTTTTCACAGCATGGCTGTCTGTCGTTCTTTCTGGGTTGTTCTGCTTCACTGAACCGTTGTCTGGATTATGGCTTTCGGACTGGCCAGCACCTGAACTCGCTGAACAAGATTGGGACATGTATGCTGCGATGAAAAGAAAGATATTCAATGTTAGGAAAGAAAAGAGGATGTGCTGTTGTCTTACTTGCGGGCTTTTTTGCATTTGCGGTTTGGGGGGCAAGATCAGGCTGCGTATACCGGCTATATACCTACCTAGCTAAGCAGGTCAAATCATTTTGGCCAAGTCGGGGTCCTGCAAGAGGTTTCAGCTGCCTTCCCAATACGATGAAAAGTGCAGACACCATCTAAGACGCGAGTCTGACCGGCGTTTTGTTCCCTCTTTCCCCCACAGTCTGCGACTGTGATTGCTTATTCGGAAAGCCCTTGGAGCGGCTGAACCGTGCGACACAGCCTGATTCTGGCTTCATGCGACGTGACTGGCTTCAACGGGAACCCCGACGCCCTGCTATGTGATAATGCGCAGAGCTGAGGATGAAACCCGCCGTCTGTACCCATGTAGCCCCCTTCTTTTCCCCCGCCTCGATATTCACCACTCGGCTTTGAACGGCGAGCGTGCGGGGAGGTTTATTAGAGACTTTGCCTCCTCGTAAATCGTATCGATCCAAGGCATTGAAATCTTCCTAACTGTATTCTGCTATCCAGGCCGCTTTATCGCAACTGTCTCGACTCCAGAGGAAACCTCTAAACTCCAGCAACTACTCTGTTAATAGATCACATACCATCTGTTCCAGATTTGCCTCCCTCCATATGGTATAGTGGCTATCCTCTGGGAATTCCTTGTACACGGATTCCTTCAGCCTATCAGCCATGTACTTTCCCATCACCGGCGTCGTACTCTTATCCCTTCCGCCGTACCAAAGCTTGATGGAAGGAAACGCCACATCCTCCAGCTTGAAACCCCAAGGCCGCCAGTGAAGCTCCATGCCTTTGGCGTGTGCCCATGCTCCTTGAATCCACGCCTGACGGAGAGAGCTGACAGACATTTTCAGCACGCTTTCCTGCATCATGAACTTAAGGTCCTGCCCCGTGAAACGTGCTTCAAACTCCCCGTGGAGCCGGGTTGCTAGCGCAGTCATGTCCTCTTGCTGTGCAAGCGGTACGTATTCTGATTCGTAGTATTCCTTGAACTCGGCTGGATAATCCCGCCATGCCTCCAGAGCTTTTTGTTGGGCTTCATCCATGCTGTCAAACCCGCAGTCTAAAGGCCCAATTCCCGCGCAGATGCCAACGCCCTTCAACTTTGACGGCCCAAGGTCTTTTGCGCAAGCCAACGTGAAACTTGTACCACCGCTTGTGCCAATGATGTAATAGCGGGAAAGGTTCAGGCGTTTGGCGAGAGCATCGATATCTGCGGGATAGTCGATGACCTCTTGAGAATCATATGGTGTTGAGAGGCCTACTCCTGGGCGGTCCGGGCCGATCCACCGGATATTGAGATCTTGGGCAATGCGAGATTCAAGTGGCCCGGTGATGGTAATTCCCGAGTCGGGATGCCCGTGGATGTACATGATTGGTGTTCCGGTGGCAGGGCCGGATGTGTGGTAGCCGAGTTTGCGTCCTGAGGGGAGAATCAGGGTGTCACCGGCAGCCGTAGACGAGGCTCCAGTGTTAAGACTTCTCCATGAGCTTGGGAAGCATTGGGGAATCATGGGCAGGTGTTGTTTTCGGATCGCCTGGGACAGGCTTTGAGTAAGGTAACGCATGGTGACAGAGGTTTGTAGACCGGATAAGACAATCAGCCAAAGTTAGTGGAGTTAGAATTGAGCTTGTAAGACGGTAGTTGTGGTTATGGGTTGTTTATGAATGAAGAGATCTTCGTAGGTAGGCTGTGCAATGCCCCACAGCCATCCTGGGACAGGACCGGGATCGACGTCAGCTTACACGATCGTCAATGCTTTTATGCCTTGAATGTTTGGTAATTCCGCTCTGCCCTGTTCATTAAGAAATTCCCAGCCTCTATGGTTTTGTCATGTGAACGTAGTCCTAGAGAAAGGATGGAACATTCATGGTTGATTGGAGTTGTGTTCAATACTTGAAGAGTGAGACAATAGAGCCTTTGGCTTAAGCTTGGGCTTCATTAATTCTATAAGCTGATCATCTAATGGGGTATTCGTCTATCATTCCTCCTCTCAATCGTTGGGACAAAGCTGTGTGAATGGGTTATCGCAACAGGGGTGTATCGGGACCCTGACCCTACACGTGCTTCCGTATCTCTGTTGCAATGTTGTATATACTCTTGGGCCACCAATCCTCCTTCTTCTCTTGAAACTGACCAAGCCAATCTTGATTGCCCATGCAAGACATGACTCGTCCTAGTTCCCAAGCTCCGATGCCGCCGATCCACCAGACTCCATCTAGCAGCATCACAAGAACTAGCCAGTGGGCAAAGATGTCTATAGCGAGCTGAGACACGCTATTGATTTCTTGCATCCCAAGGCTAGGGTCAAGGCAAGGTTCGATCTGACCGTTGGGGACGAGGCCGAGACTTGTCTGGACGAGGCTGAGATACTCTGCTGGGACCCGGTTTAGGAACCACATGATGGTCCTCCTCCATGGCTTAGAAGGCGAGGAATAAGTTACACGGCTGAGATACTTCCTCAACCAGGGTGAAACGCCAGACACTTGGCCGAAGGGTGGAGAGTCTGGGAGGGAATAGGGCGACGTTTCCGAGTTGGGATGGAACACCTCGTTCATGATGTCACTAAGAACATCCAGAGACATCAAACAGGCATGGATGTCATTACTCCATGACTCGGTCTGTTGTGGAAGGATACCGTCCCCGTTGAGCATATCTTCCCAAGATGCCATGTCGGCAACGGGCTCGATCATGTGTGCTCTGGCCCGCAGCTTTTCCAGGGCGTTTCCTGATGTAGCTGCTATTATGGGGAGAAGAAGATCTCTTGTTTGCCTGCTGGGTCCGTCTTCGGCTAAGGCGGTCTCGCTGGCAAACGATTGGTGGGTAAAACTGGGCGTTGAAAGACCCTCGGTCCAATTCTGTGAGGGCTCAGCTCCTTGCTTTGGGCTTGGGAGTCCGGTATACGCTGAATGAGCTGCTCGGATGAGGGACATCCATTGCCATTCAGTCGAGTCCGAATCAGAGCATGAGTCGTCATCTTGAGTGGAGAACTGGGCAAGCCGTATACGGACGCAGCGGCTGGCCGAGGCATAGAGCACCATCAATGGTGCATTCGCCACGATGTGATCGTAGTGGTCGGCGTACGGAATGTCGGCCTGTGTCTGGCGTAGCGACTCCCTGTGGTGCTCATCCGCGAGAGTCAGGAGTCTTTGGAGTTGATCTTGGTCAGGTTGTCGAGTACCGGACTGCACGATCATGTCGTTACACTTGCATACAGCTGCGAGTGCAAGAATCGAGCTCATAACGGGCTTGCTGCGGAAGGCGAGGTTGGGGAAGCCAACTTGTAGCGCGTAGAGGTCTTGGCTGTCGAATGCAAGTGAGCGGGCCGTGTGTGAGAGGTAGTGGCTCAGCAATTCGAGCTCTGTCGCGTCGAGATTGCTTGTTTGTTGCGCGTTGGCTTGCAGCAACTCCAAGTCAACATTGATGCTCGGAGGAGCTGGAGATAGACTTGGAGAAACACTCGATGTCGATCCCAAAGTGACAGTTGAGTGTGCGTAGTTGGGGCTAGGAATGGTCAGGCTCTGAAGCTGGCTCCAGGCGCTGCTAGCAGGTGATGGAGACGAGTCCAAATTCCGCACCACCTTGGCAGGGCGCGTGTATTCACAAGGGAGGTTTCTGTCCACACATCGCGAGCATTGCGGTCTGCGCTCGTCACACTACTCGAATCAGCCAATGGTCTAAGTTCTGTGGAGGACAGTCGTTACCTTTTTCCTGCCCTGTTTACATCTCGCGCAGCCGTGTCGCGACTTTGTGTGACTTCGTCGCGACCTGACACTAGAGGCGGAACCCCTTTCCGAGGCCGTGGGTGGTGAGAGCTGGTCGGACTTGGACATTGCACTTGAGCTGTATCTGCTTCAAAAACAAGAACACGACAAACGAGATGCTATTCAGCCTTATATATCACCTTGATATTTGTCAAAGCAGAAGCTCTGGTGATGATGACCAGGGGTTGCTCGGACGACTCCGCCTCGACCTAAGCTCCGCCCCCCCCGAAAAGAATTTGGAATTTACTGTGGGTCCTTGATGTGACCATTCACGTCTCCTGCTCAGCCACAAGGATTACGGATTGTGGTTCATTAGCGCTGGGGAGCATAAGATGAGATAACGTCATCATCGTGAGGCGGGCCGCATAAATAAGCTTATTTGAAACCTGGAATTCCAAATAATAAAGAGACTGGAGAGAATTCGGGCATTCGGCTGTCGGTGTGAGTCAGGAACCTTTGTTTGGGTTGTTTGGTTGGCTGACAGTTCCATCAACGTTACCACTCAGAGTCGACCAATGAGGTGCGCCCTTTGGATGGGCAGACATCACTCTGCGTCTAATGTCGGAGGTAATTGTTTTTATCCTCTCATGAGACTCATGAGACTTGGGCACTCTTAAATTCTCTGCTGTTGTTGGTGATTGGTTCCCTTTCTCATTTGCAATTGCCACTTGCTGTTGGGACCGGGTCTAGTGACACTGGTACCGCTCGTCAAGGAGTGGGATCTAAGACAAACAGGCTCTATCCCATCAAACACTGAGATAAGTTGGCCAACATCTAATAATTACGGAATTCACCTATAGGACTACTGAGGAGGCCCAGAGTGAATAATCTCGAGGTCAGGATTCCTATTTGGTCATGACTAAAAGCCCTACATTGCTTGAGCTATCTCTGCTACCCTACTTCGATGCCTCGACGCAGAATGGGTTCGCAGTAAAGGTTCCCTTGGGATCAAAAGTCCCCCTGATCTTCTGTACCTTCTTGTACGTGACAGGATCGTAGTAAAACTGCCACACCTTCTTCATCGTCCAGTCTCCGTACGATCCCCAGAGAACACGTCGATCTTCCTTACTAAAGTGCGTCTTCGCACCCTCGTCATTTACTGCCTGCCACTCCTGCGCTGCCTTCTCCGCCGTATCCTGATAGAAAACATCCCACGTGCCACTATAGGTGGCGTCCCTGAAGCAGTAGGCCGTGCCATTGCCCGCATTCTTCTGGAACATTGATTGCTTGCCGCCGTACACCTGCAGCTGAGATGAGACCCAGAGGCCGTTGTTCTTGTTCTTGATCACCTCGTTGATTCGGCCAGAGAACCAATCCGACCAGCCAGTCTTCGAGAGCTCGACAGACTTGGTGCTGTTGGTGCGCTTGACGTAGGGGTAAGGAAACTCGCGAGGGCTACCGAAGAGCCACATGGATGCGATGACCGACATTGGCGTGCCTGGAGGGGCCTCCTTCCCAAACTTGAACTCGTGCGGGACCTTGTTGATCTCGTTGAACAGGTCAGGCGAGTACGGCTCTCCTCCAACATTGACCCACTGGGCGTAGACGACAATCAGTGCGTACTTGAACTTGAGCACATCGGCAATGTTGTCCTTGCCGTTGTGGATGCCATCTGGTAGCCTCTTCTTGAGCTCGTCCTCGGAACCCGGGAACAGATCCAGCAGATTGGCCTGTCTACTGACAATGTTGACAGTAAAGTCGTAGCCACGGGGAAAGTTGGGGTCTTCTCCCTTCTTGACCAGAATATCAAGGAGGGCCTTGAGTGTATCTTGACGATAGGTGAAGGCCTGCCATAGACCCTTGGAGTTCGGGTACTTCTTGTCATCTTGAACTTCGACCTTGAAGTGTGTCAGGACACCCAAGTTGCCGGGGCTGCCGCCAAGGAAGCCATAGAACAGGTCGGGATGACTGTCCTTGGTCACCTTGACCACGTCGCCCTTGTAGTCAACAATGTCAAGTTCACGGACGTAATCCCCGAGAAGGCCAAAGGAGCGTGCAAGCATTCCATAACCGCCGGTCTGGACGTGTCCACCAAGATGGACTGTGGAGCACTGCCCGGTCGGCATGAAGACGCCATTGTCCTTGAGAAAGTCAAAGATCTCAGCAAGTCCCCAGCTGACACTTGCTCTGAGGTAGACCTTGTCGTTTTCTCGCAGCACGTTGAGGTCGACATTGGGGCGTCGGAAGGTAGGCTTGAGGTCCAACTGGATATTTTTGGGATCGGTAGAGCATGCGCCACTGTACTGATGCCCGCCAGTTCTAATGGCGATGGCTTGGCCCTTAGCAGCAGCGGCTTTGACGACATACTGGATGTCTTCGATGCTTGAAGGCTGAAGGATCTCTCCAGGGTTCATGTCGCGAACCTTGCCGTAGGTAGAGGTGGCATACAGGTCATTGGCACGGTTGTAGGCAGCTGTGCCTGGGGTAAACTGGTTGCCTTGAAAAGTTGGCTCCATTTTGATGATGGTCAAGAGTAGGACAAATGTTTGCAAGTATTGAAGCTGAAGAAGTTGCAGAAGTAAAGCAATCAGCCTGAGCCCGGTTTCTTATACTTGCCTACAGGCCCTGATTGGGGAAAGCGGTTTAACGCGTGGAAGCTCGCGTTGCTTCACCGACCGTTCAATGCTTGCCGACTACCATGAGCAGTCAGTTCGTGGCGCACACGGTACAGGTCACATTCCAGGATTTTCAGCTCTCAGCCAAGTGCCGTTTACTGAGATATGGAAACCAACATTTCTCCGCTTCCTGTCAGCCTAGGTTCACCGGGACGGGCCGTAATAAGCGTAGCCTGGACGTTAGTGGCCGGGGGAGTCTCGGCGTGGACGCAGGGCAGATGGCTTCGTAGCGGGTTCAGCTCTCCGCTTTGAGCGTGATCACTGGGCATTGAGAGGGCAGTTGGCAAATTCTCCTACATCAGCAAGCCACAGAATCATAGCTACCCGGTTTCGTACAGATTGTCTCGGATCAAGGCACGGCTGATCGGCTTTTCTGAAGTTGTAACGTTTTCAAATGAGATATGTGGCGTCGGTCTCGATGCGTGTAGACACATGAAGGGCTTTTCTTAGGTAATTTGGGCATGGGCGTCAAACCGGCAGAAGAGGAGTTTTACCATGTTCAGCCAGCCACAATAGTATATCCATCTGACTTTAGTATAGATCGTCTGGTGTCTGAGTCAAAATGGCTCCACGAGGAGGCCAGGCAGCGGGCGCTTCCAAGCAACTCTACAGAAACAGCACAGCAACCACCAAGGTATGGTTTATCAACTCCACTGAAGATGTAACGCTCTCAGCTCAGATATGTAACGTCAGTCTAGATGTTTGTAGACCCGTCAGATGTTTCTCCTAGTGGGCGTTAAGACGGCGGATGAGGAATTCTATGTATTCAGCCGGCCGCAGCAGTAACCCTATTTGGTTTCAGCGGAGGTTGTTTAAGTTCAAGGTGGTATGTGACTGATCCAGCTGCGTGAGGATGTGCAGCTTTACCCTCAGACATGTGATACCAGTCTAGATACTCACGGACACATAATGTGCCAATTGGTCAAGGCATGCTTGTAAATATAAGACCATTCATTGGATCTCGCGTTGCATGATTTAATATCTTGACCAAACTCTCAAGGCCTACTGGATCAACCCAGCTATCATTCACTTCGCAGACCAAGCATCATGGCTTCGAACAGTCAGTCGTCTCATGCTGGGATTCACCTTCCGAAAGGTTTTCACTTTGATGAAGTCAATTTTGATCCTCTTCCTCGTCCTCCAAAGGACGAGCCTTCGCCTCCCCTAGGAATTCTGGCCAGCTTTACCGGTTCCTTCACAGGGCCTGGCTTCAACACCATTTTCCGACCAAACAGTGTCGCACCAACAACAACCACTTTCACCAACCCAGTGCTCCCTGCTCCCCCTACACCTCCCAATGTTTCCGTCCTCGAGTTAAATCTGACACAAGAGGAGCTTACCTTTTCTGCACCTCTTGGCAAAGTTCCCAATCGTGGCCTTGAGAAGCAAAATGACATCTGCCTCAATGGAGTCTCGTATCTGCAAACCGTCAATGATGTGACCAACATAGTCACAGGCAGGGGTGATGGTGCTCCAACAGGCATCCACACCGAGACTGGCTTCTGGCTGAATGTGCCCCAGACCGACACCAACCCAAAGTTGGGAAATACGCTGGTCCGCCTGGGCTCAATCCCGCATGGAACCACCATCAATGCCCAGGGTCCCGCTCCCACTGTGGTCAAGTCAGCGCCAGACATTGGCGCACGATCCATCACCCCCTTCACCATCGGGAATCCTGGAGATCTCAAGCCAAAAGCTAGTCAGCAGGCCTCGGATGTGAACACAGCACGCCTGCCGCAGGATCTCGCCCCCTTCGTAGCCCAGGGCACCATCACGCAGGGCATCCTCACCAACCCAGCTCAAATCCTCAACGACATCAACAGTCAACTCAACATCATAGAGACGAGCACATTTGCAGTCACGACAATGTCTACGTCAACCGAACCCGGTGGTGGGACAGCCAACATTGCCTTCCTAGTCGGACAGAACGCCGCCATGGGCCCCAACGCAGATGCTGTACAGATGGACTCTACCTTCTGGGTCGAGACTGTACAGGCCGAGATTACCATTGAAAGCTACAAGCCGGGCAAGCCTCTGTTGCTGCAGCCCAACTTCAAGCCGGTGGAGGGAAAGGCTGCTCCTCCTTTGCCGACCTTTTCTGTAACGCCTCCCGGGCCAGTGACGAGCCCCAAGACGATTACTGTGACTTATACACAGATACAGTACGCGCAGATTGTTTTGCTCAACTTTAATGGGTTAAGTTGGCCCCATCTGTCTTTGGCTACACTGGTGCCAACTGCACCTATTGTGGTCCCATTTTCATCGTCTTGATATCGATTATGTTGGGAGTTTCACGCTAAGCAGAATAGTCAATTGAGTTATGCATTGATCACGGGTAGAAATTGATGATCGTGCCGTGTGGACTTAACACTCTTCCTTCAATCTGTTCCGGTATCCAACAAGTGTATCCGACCGCTCTCTAATCCGAGAAGTTACGCTGATAGGCTGATCCCGCATCCCATCAATACATAAGCTAGACTCTCGCCCCCATGCCAGGGTCATCAAAGCCGGGTGTCGTGTTGTCAAGCCCGCTTCTACACTGATTTTCATCCATCATCTTTCCCTCCTTCCACTGTTTCAGTACCTGTGCAACTGCATCATGTCCCCTCTCCTCAGCCAACTCAATAGCCCCTTCATATCCCCCTGCTCCCGCCTCTAGCAAAAACTGCACCATATCCAATCTCCCCCCCTCAGCAGCAGCCTCCAACGCCGTCCTACCATTCCAAACCGCTCCTTGTGCATTAACATCTGCTCCCAGAGCTAGCAACCTCTTGACCAGATCCATGTGCCCCTTTCCAGCCGTAATCTGTAGCGCTGTCGCACCAGAGTCCTGCCCAGGCGGTGCGTTAATGTTTGCGCCCACTTTGAGGAGTAGGTCCACCATTTTGTCGTCGGCATTCTCAACAGCGGCTTGAAGGGCAGTACGTGGAAGGATTGGGTCCGACCAGTCATTGTCGGCAACTAGTCCCTCAGACGCTGGAGCGTTGGCGTCAGCGCCGAGAGATAGCAGAAATCTCGCGACGTTGAGTCTTCTATGTCGAACAGCGGCTTGAAGGGGTGTGTCGAAGTCGCTCCTGGCGCGCTCGAACCTATCAACCCGTGACAGCCGATTCGTCAGATCAACAATGGCCCCGATGGGTTGTTTTCGGATAGCCACGATTAGAGATAGCCTGTCCGGTTTGAAACCGGCTTCCAGCAGTTGTTGTGCAGTTCCCCAATTGCCGCCGTGGATGGTAGGCACGAGAACGGAGCACCGAGCCATCTCTGGATCGCGCCAGAACTGCTTCTCATATCCCCAGGATAGAAACCGAGGGTACCCTCTTGCCAGATGAAGCCAGTCCCCATCGGTTTTAACGGGGATGATACAGTATCCGCTGATCTTGAGCTTGAGGAGACGTTCAAGCACCCACTTCTGGTGGTGGAAAGCGGCATATCCCAAGGCTGTGGCCTCCATATCTCCTCCTACCATGTCGTCAGGCCTTCTTTGTAGGAGCACCTCGAGGTAGCCGCCGTTATCCCTGTCGTTACCAATGCCGGAGCAAATAGCAGCGCATAACGCACCTTGATCATATGGCACATGGTGAGTTTCCATAAGCCATACCATCAGGTCCCAGTTTCGGCTCGAAGCAGCAGCCTCAAGAAGTGAGCACTCGGAATCATTGCCATTGACCGCGCCGCCTCCATTTCTGATGAGCATCTCCACAACATCACGCCGACCGCTCTCCATGACGGAGTGCAATTTACACCCGCGGAAACTTGCCCCCGCCTTGAGTAGGCAGCCAACTAGATTCGCGTTCCCAAATTCGAGACAGGCTTGTAATGCGGAGCGCCCAGTCAAGTCCAACTCGTTCACATCGGCGCCGCGGGACAGTAGCTCGCGTAGCAGATCAGTGTTATCGAAACAGCAAGCCCTCGCAACATCACCGCACTTGAGAGAGGCCCTAGCACCGACCAAAGCCAGGGCTGCACCTCCGCGTTTGGGCGTAGTATAACGCGACTCCTTGATCTTGTTCCTAAGCAAGGCAAATTGTAGCGGCGTCCGGCAGGCATTCATCTCGCATAAAGCGTCCGCGCCAACACCGGACGTTTCGAAATGTGAGCCGAGAAGGCGTCGGTCTTCGTCTTCTATATTGACGGCAATGGCGTTGATATATGCTCCATGCGCAATGAGAACCTTTGTCACCTTCTCGTCGCCCTCGGCTGCGGCGATGTGCAAGGCTGTGATGTTTGAGTCCGGCATGGCGAGGTCGACTTCTGCGCCAAGATCCAGTAGCATCTCAACCATCCGCGAGCTGCTCCCTTGGTAGCTACGCCACGCAGCGGCAATGAGAGCCGTGTGACCATCAAGCGATCTCTCGTTGATGCATGCACCATCCCCCAATAGGTCCATGAGCATGTCCCTTCGGTCTTCAGCGGCCGCTCTGATGAAGGCGTCTTGGATGAGGTCATGATGCCGTCCTTGGTCGTACAGGGTCAAAAGGTATCTGAGAGTCTTCAGACCAGGTAGATCTCTCCCAGAGCTCTCCAAGTCGGCCTGCTCCTCTTCATCTCGTATATGGGCCATTCTCCAGTCCGCATCAACTGCGTTTGTAAGAGCCGAGTCGGGCGTCAACAAGTTGTCGTTCCAATCCATCCGCATGATGTCCGCCCCAGCTTCGACCAATACTTGCACGGCTTCAGCTGTGCACTCTTTGCATGCCTTGAACAAGGCTGTTTCTGGGTCTTCCTCCGTCACAAGGTCAACGCCCGCCCCGAACCGAATCAGAAGACGTGCGAGATCCACATCCCCTACGCGGCAATCCATGCTGAGCTGAAGCGGCCGGGCAAGACATCCCATTGCCCATGTATCAATAATCTTGTCTGGATTCGCCCCCGTATCGAGAAGTGTCTCGCAGATGTCGAGTGTTTGGGTGTTGACGGCAGCTTCAAAGAGTGCTTCGATGAACGCTTTACCAGTCGGTTGATTGCGGCTTTTGGAGAACAAGTCTTTCCACACAGCTTGTGGCAGGCCTATGTTTCTGAATATCTCAATGATCTTGGTATACTTACCATTGTCGTCAATAAACTCGTCATCCTCATCTTCAATGAGACTGTTGGAGAGCTGGTACGCAAAGAGTTGAAACTCCTGCATCTTTGCCTCGAGCGGATCGGCACCGATGAGTGCTTTGATTCGATCGGCATTCTGTCCATCAAACTGCTCTGGCATAATCATATTCGCCTTGCTAACCGCACGACTGAAGCCGGACTTTGTTGTGAGCGAGTACTTCTGTGAGATGAGGGACAGTCTCATTCTCGACACTATCTCCCTGCTGGTGGCATCAGGCCTGAGGTTCAACTCTTTGGAGAGCATGGCTCGCAATGCGATGTCTGTAGGGTTATTCATCAATGATTTGCTTCCTAGAAGGATCTTCAAGTGTGGCTTACTGTTGAAATAACGATCTTGAAATTGGAACCAAGGCAGGCTCGAAGGCCAAGGGATCCGGGGCTGTGGGATAGCAGTGATCTCAAGATCACTGAACTGGACGTGTAGAGGGCTTGAAACTATTCAATGTCAACTACAGACGGACAAGCTTGAACGCGGGATTGACCTACCGCTGGAGATCTCGACAAGACTGTTCTCGTCGTTGCTGGCAGTATCTTGCCGTTCAGCTACGTCCACTACTGTCCAGGGTTGATATATCTCGTCATTATCTTGGCACCGGTCGCTGTGGCATTATCAATGAGTATTATGGAAACAATGAGGGGTGTCAAGATACGAACGTACCGGCATTGCGTTACCTGTTGCGACGCGATGTTGATGACTTCCACATCGTCAGCTAGAGTCGAATCAGTATCGTCCATCTCTATGGCTGGCCTGGGAATGGCCTATGGTTTAAGGAATAAGCAATATCGATCGATGCTGTTGGAGTTGTGTTTCTCAGCCTCAGGCCTCAGCCGCAGCTAGGTCGATGCAGGCGATGTGCAATCGCGGCGTAATATTACGCCGATGTCGTACAGTAAATAGAGCCAATTAGGCCCCCTACCTTTTGGGTGGCCTAACGGCCTATTTTTCTGTATTACAGCCGACCACCTGTTGGCCCTATCCTTGGGACCGTGATAGAACTGATGGCGCCATGTCGGCAATTATGGGACTATCCGGTTCCAAACAGGACCTCTCAGCATTTGGCTTCATCATGACATGAATGGCATTCAAATGACTCCCTCCAATAGTTGTTGGTTTCTTACTGATGTAAAGTGGGAGCTACAAAACTATTCTCTAGACACACTCGAAGGAAACCAAGTTTGACATGCAAGCACATTCTAGAACGGTGGACTGGTTCGGGTTCAATGCCGTCAACCAAGGGAGAAGATGCTCGAAAACACCAAAGTGTGACTATGTAAGGAGTGTGACTCTGGAACTTGCTAGTTCGTGCCACTGCGGCGTGGCTGATCAAGTGGCGGGCTGACGACTTCTTTTGAGCCACGCGGCTCTGGGCTGCATCTGGAACAGTCTCAACATGCCATCTAGATAGTCAATCACGAAACAATCATCGTTTTTGTTGAGAGCCTGACAGTTTTGATCATCTGTGACGAGCCGGTAGCTGGATTTTCAACTTGGCTGGAATGAACAAAGTGAGGCACTGGAGCCATAACGTCGTATATACGACCAGAGGCCTAAGATCTTTTCACCAACCGTTACTAGAATGAATCTCACTATTATTCTATCTATTTTTAAAGATATTCAAAAACTCATTCATATAGCTAACTTTAGTAGAGCTAGTTCATCCTGACAGACAAGCAAGGCCAGTGACGGGAGCATAGTTCTACGCATCGCTTTGCCGGTGTTGCGGCCCTCGCCTCATGACTGATCAGAGTCGTCTCCATGTCTGAGATGGTCACTGAGACCAAGTGCCGAGTCCCGCAGGGACATAGTTGACCACATCCCCCACCTTTGGTCTTTCGGAACGTTAGACCACTATTGCAGAACTCAACGGAGGGTGGGCAATACCTAGCCTAGCTTACGCAGAGTGACAAGTACAAAGAAGATGAGCATTGGCAGCCATGTCATAGTAGTTCTGCTGATTGGCATTGCGAACCGGTCGTGAGACATGGCTAGATACTGAGGCTGGCTGAAGGACCTACCGTCTCTTCAGCCAGCCCCAAGGTGCCGCCACTTGGTTGTGTTTCAATATGTTGTTTTCCCTAGTTTCACATGTCTGCATTCGAGAAATCTTGACCATACATGAGAGGTGGCGCAACTCAACGAAGGCATTTTTAAGCCAATTCGGACAAGCGTCATGGTAGCTTTTCTCGGCATGAGATAGTCAAAAGTCGAGTGTGCTATTAGATAGGCCAATCATTCCGCCCAGTACTTCTTTTCTTCTTTCTATCCGATAGTTGTTTGCAATTGTACCAGCTCCTTGCCACACTTTTGGCGTCGTCAAAGTCTAGAACAGCATGTCACCTTGGCCTAGACTGTAGGATCCCCTCTCAAGCCAGCATTCTACCCCTCGCGTCCTCACCGGCCGGCGCTGACGACTTCCCCGCCTGCATGTCTCAACTAGGATGTCTCGGCCGGTCAAACGTGCTAATCCTACTGGGGTCCAGAACCCGTGGTGTCTCCGCACGTTGAGTTCATGCAATAGCGGGCGCTTCGGTCCGTTGGAATCTGTAAGCGCCAGACTAAAACGATTCATCAGTTAAAATATAGGAATTGTATTAATTAAAGGTCAAATAACTATACACTAAGAGCGCATCATGTATGTATTGATAAGATATCTCAGTCTAAGTAGATTAAATGCATAATCGGTTATTACTGATTCTATTATGCTTGACGCTAGGAGAAGCCACAAGAACGGCTGAAGAGATGGCAGAAACTAGCACTGCCGGTGAATGAAACATCAGCCAAATCTTTTAAGCCTCCTCGAACAGAGCGGCTGATGGGGCTTGATCTGAGCCAGCTGGGAAAAAAGAAATTTCGTCTTTTGATTCGAACAGTTTCGGGCGTGGTTGGCCAGAGCCTAGCCAGAGTTGTAGCTGAGCCGAACCCCCTGTAACGCGCTGACTATCGCCTCCTCAGTGGCTGCAACACTATGGTATGTATGTCTTATTTGGCAGCGCTGAGGTTCGACTATTCGTCCTATTTCGTCCTTAACCGCTGGACTAGTCACAACTGGCGGCCTCGCCTTTGGATGCTACCTGGCAAATACACGTAGAAAATGGTACAGATACATTCCAAACACGACATGTAATGGTTGAAACCGACGTTATTGTATCTTGTACACCAGAAAGTCACCATCAGACTACATGAAAGATTTGAGCACCTGGACATCCGTCGTAGGATATAAAACCCCTCGTCACCTCCTGAACAGGAATCCTCTTTCCACTCCAAACAACATCTCCTTCACATCTTTTCATCCCTAATACACAAACCACACTTCAATCTTGTCACAAAGACGTCTCAGCATTCACAATGTTCGTCTACCAAGGAAAGCTCAACTGGTACAACTACGCCAAGGATGAGACTTTCGTCATCGTCCTGCCCAACGGCCCGGTCCGTGTCGGCGATAGCGTCTATCTCTTCTCTCAGTGGACGGAAGATGCCCAACGCAACAAGAAGAAGAACTGGTTTGACACCATCGTTGTCGATTCCGTCACTCAGACCCAGACCACCGATGTGACCTTCGTTCTGAAGGGCGCCTGGTACAACTTTACTATTACAACTCAGGAAGCGTACAAGTCCCTCAGCGTCGTCATGAGAAACCCCTCAAACGGAATCAGCAAGCCCCTGCCTCTCCAGCGCATTTGGGAGTCCAAGGAAGAGCTCACCGGTACGACCCGCATCTGGACCGGCAAGTTCAGCTGGATGCACTTCGCCAAGGATGAGCCGGCCATCTTCATTGTTCCTGATGGTTTCGGAGAGAACAAGCCCATCCTCTCCCTTTGGCAGTACACCCAGGACTCAGCTGGAAAGCTCAAGGACCCATCCTTCCGCAATGAGGTCCAAAAGTCTGTGTCTGGCATTGACACCGACGTCGTCAAGTTTTCCTACCAGTCGTACTACGATATCAGCTGCACCTGGGAGGCCAAGACTGACAAACTTTCTGTCCATGTCAAGGAGGGCAGCCACGGCGAGGATGTTGGCAGCATGATCCGCTCGGCCATCATTGAGCGTCAAGCTCACACTCAGTATGGCCCCCTCTGACTTGTATTGTATTTCCCATTGCTTACACTATCGCTTAGCGACTTTAACCCCCCCGAGCCCACTCCAGAGAAGAAGCAGGTCGAAGTCCGCTTGCCCCAGCCTCAGCCTTCGCTCCCCCGTATTCTTGGCCCTCTGCCTTTCCCCAAGGACATCGTTGAAACCTTGGCTCATACCGCTGCATTTGTGGACCAAGCCGGCTACCTGGCCAAGTATGCTCAAGATGTACGTCACACGCCCCTGTCTCTTGTTGTATGCTAGCATTGTTCTAACGACGTCCATAGCGCTTCGCTGCCTTGGATGCCGACAACCACACCCTTGTTCATCAGCTCGACGCTGCGCAGGCGAACATCAAAAACCTCGAAACGGCGAAAGAGGATCTCACTGTTGACCGTAACAGTGCCAAAGCCAAGGCTGAGCAGCTGGAGAAGGACCTCGCCCAGGCCCGTAAAGATGCAGACGAGCTCCGCAAGACGATCAAAGAGCTTCGAAGTGATATCGCCAAAGACAAGTTGGGGGATGAGGAAGCCCGCAAGATACTGCAGGACACCCAAGCCAAGCTTACAGCTGCGGAAGCCGAAGTCGACTGTCTCAAGCGGGATCTGTCCGATGCGCAGTGTGAGGTTAAAGATCTCTATGCACACAATGACGAGCTTCTGAAGAAGAAGGTCGCGCAAGAGAACACCATCTCGCGCCTTCAAACCGAGTTGAAAGTGCACAACAAGGAGTATAAGAAGTTGACCAAGGAGTATGATCAACTCAGCACGGCCAAAGGGAAGCTTGAGGCTTCCATCAAGGAGCTTCAGGAGAAACTTGCCGATGCCACTACCCTAACTGAGGAACAGAGCAATACAATCAAGAAGAGGGATGCAAGGATCACGACTCTAATCAATGAGAAGTCAACCGCCCAGTCACAGGCCACGGCCGCAGAACTGGCACTAACTGAGGCCGAGTCTAAGCTGGCGGACATCAAGGCGAAGGCCATCAAAGCCAAGATTCCACTCTGAAGCCAAGTGGCCCCATTGGTGTCGTCGTCTCCGACTTCGCCGAGGGACTTGTCACCGGCGAAGGAGTCGGGTCTCCGGGGAGTCTCAAGATACTGGTGGTGGCTTGCAACTGCTCTCGGTTTGGGGTCATGGGTGATTGGCAAGAGAAGAGGTTGAGCTGGGATTGGCCAGGGTTGTAAATGTAGTAGTGACAAGTTCCGTGCAATTTATTGATCGGTTTTGTCCATGGCTTGTTGACCGTTGTCCATTGAGTGTGATGTGTGTGATAAAGAAGCTACATTAAAAGACGTGATTATCAATTTGTCCAACTTGGTTAATGGTAGACTCTTTGTGGGATATGACTTGGCCTGCCTTGCTTTCCATTTGATCATGGGAAGAAAATCTATAAATGCTGTCTTGTGTTCTCTTTCATCCGCCACGAATCTAGACGGTTGTTACACGTGGTCCGTCGCCTCTTTTACTCACGCTGGCTCAGCCGTCACTCAGCCATCGCTTAGCCGTCACTCAGCCATCGCTTAGCCGTCGCCCATGTGAGCCTCCGCAGGGCCATTACCCCGCCTTCTGAGCTTCCAACAAAGACACCCCAAGCTTGTTAAACCTTCGAAATCCAATCACCAGCAAGCTTATCACAATGACGACCGTTACTCGCTTCAGACTTGTCTTCAATGTGCCCACATTGTCACTGGCAAAATGTAAAGAGGCCATTTTCGCAGCTGGGGCAGGTCGCTACCCCGGACCCGGCAATTATACCGAGTGTTGCTGGACTGTTGTAGGGACTGGCCAATTTCGCCCAGGCGACGCAGCCAAGCCACATCTTGGACAAGTTGGCCAGCTCGAGGAAGTTGAAGAAGCCAGGGTTGAAACTATTTGTGTGGGCGAAGAGGCTGCTAGGAATGCAGTGAAAGCTCTGAAAAAGTAAGTGATTTTTCTTATAATTGCGTTGCTACTAATAATTTCCTAGCGCCCATCCATATGAAGAGCCCTCCTACTCTGTGTATCGGCTCGAGGACTTTTAAGAGGAAGCTAGATGATACAAGGTGTTAACAGACTGGATGGGATTAAGGGCAGGGTGGACAAATTTGCCCTTAACTGCAGAAACGAGCAAGGCCTCAAAGTTGATGTTGCAGCTTGAGATGCGAGTGGGAGCTCGAGATCGACGAACGTTTAACACAAGGTCAGAGGGAAAGAAAAGAGTTGTTAGGGAAAAATGTCAAGAATACGGTCCATTTAAAGAAGAAGGGTCCTAAAAATGGTAAGGCATTCAAGAAAGTGACGTCTCGTCGCCAGCAGCCAACATGGAGGTCTCGTTCTGTCCAACGATTGATTATAGTTGAAGTCCGGCACTTGATAGGATAGTTGAGCCAGAACACCGCTATAGACGTTGAGATGGAAGAGTAAGTTAGATAGGTGGTTAAGAAGGCTCTGCATGCATCTTCGGCTGTTTCACCCAAGCCCTGAGTGCTGGCGACGAGTGCGCTGATTGCCTTTGGAAAGCCGTATCTTCCGTCCCGGCCGAAGCGACTGGGGCTGAAAACAAACTATTTGCTTGGCCCTGGATGTTGTAATCGTGTTGGCCCACCTCAGCTGCGGTTAAGGAGAGCTATTGATGACAGCTAACCAACCACGGATGCGAATGCAGAGACCATTGAATCTCAAGACCCATCCGCTTAGATTGAGCACAACCAACAACCACGGCCCCCTTTATTGTGCCAAGCCATCAAAAACTATTAAAAAACCATGGCGGGCTATTTCTTCTAGTTCAGCCATCGTTCGTCTCATTCTCTCGTTAATTGCCCAACGATGCGTTCTGGTGTCCTTCTTTCTTTGGCTCTGGGCCTCTTCTCGGCCGAGTCGCTTGCATCGCCATGCAAGCCACAGTCGGGTGAGTACAGAATGCTTCATGGTGCAGATACATCTTGTTAATCGAAGATTGACAGGTTCTTCTTCGGTCGTGATTGTGTCGTCGGAGGCTTCGACTTCGGTGACCTCTTCTGAGCTGTCGCTATCATCCACGGTCACAGAGACATCATCTGCCGAAACCGAGTCCGAGACTTCAAAGTCGACAGAGTCAAGCGGAACTACCGAAGTTGCATCTTCGACCGAGTCCGCGATCTCCCAAACCGCCTCGGCTACTGTTTCTAGTGCTGATTCGACCACACTCTCTACTGAATCCACAACCGCTGTGTCTTCAACCGAATCCACTACGTCTACCTCCGCAACTGAGTCTACTTCTTCTACCTCGGTAACTGAGTCTGCGACTTCCAGATCAACCACCCAACCCACGACAGAGTCTGCAGAGTCCTCCACATCCGAGGCTGCTTCCACTTCCTCCAGCTCTGTGGACGCTTGCGCTACCCCTAACCCCAACCCAATCTTCAGGGCAGTCGTTCAGGGCAGTGGAGGGAACCAAGTGATCTTGACCAACGGTCAACACGGCAACAACCTCTTCCTCAGCACAACCTCCAGCGGCTACTCTACCATGGGTTTCACCGTCGAGCCCTGCACCAACTATCTGCGCCAAACCGACGGAAAATACATCTGTGTCACCTATGGACCCAGCGACTATTTCCCGCCCACATTGGTGACCTGCCAGTTGCCGACCATTTCCTGGTTCAAACCCGTGACCTGCGAGCAGCCCGTCGCTGGTCAGCCTCTGGTGTGCAACGCGCCGCGGGGCGAGTGTACTCCTGGATGCCACGAAACGGGGGGCACACCATTTAGCCAGTTCTATTCCATGGCTTCCCCGGATCCATTCCAACCCGCCACGCTTTTGTACTTTGGCAACTCTGTCGAGGAGGGTGCTCCAGGGACTTACACCGCCGTCGATTTCGTTGCCCAGCATTATGTGGCTGACCCGCCTGCTCCTACTGAGTAAATACGCACTGGACGCGTATCCCTGCAATCGAAATGAGAAAGTATAGCTATTTTCTTCCCGAGTGTTGTAAATAGATATAGACTAAAGCTATTACCATAACTCAAATTGAACATACTTGCTACATTGTACTTTAAGACTGGGCAGAAATGGAGCATCTCTTAGAGGAAAAGTAGTAAATGGACTACAAGAATGTCCCACTAGCGTAGTACGTGTCCCAGGAGAACCAGTCAAAGGTGCTGTCAATGCTTCGCTTTAAGCCGCGGGTCTCCTGACTCGAAGCCGCTCCCCCAAAGTCCTCTTCCATGTCAACATCTGCCGTCGACTGCATGGGGATATTTTGCGGCAGCCAGTGTAAAAATGCCTCAACATCTACGTCGCCCAAAACTGGACCCTGTTGGCTGTCTTCAGCGTTGTCAAACGAGAAGCCCGCTTGCCCCGGGTCCGTGATTGTTGGGGGTAGCGGGGCCGCCATGCCATCCTGTAGCCCCTGGCTCGCCGTAGATGCAGATCTAGGCTTTTTGGCATGCTCTCGTGCAAGATTTAGGAAGACTCCAGCAGTTTGTTCGAGCTTGGACGTAACGCCTGCAAGGACACAAAGTTGTGTACGCATCCGGGAGAAATACGTTTTGGTTGTTGCTAGCAGCTCAAGGTCTTGAGGTACTGTTGAAGCTGACGGGTCTCTCATGATATTCCCGAATAGGACGAAAAACGGAGTGAATGGCAAGTATAGAAGTTCCCTTGTTCAACAAGTTAGCCTTTCGTGTACTAAATGGGCATCGGCACGATTGATTACCAGACTGCTGGGTTGTAGACCTGGCTCCAGTTGGAGACCGTATTTAGAAGCAGGGATATCGCTTGTCTTGCATAGGAAGTTCGTAACCCTTCATTCCCCGAGTCGGAACCCTGAAGAATGATGCAAGCAGTCAAGTACCGGAATTGTATAGAAAGAATACCCAAGGACATTTCACGACACTGGGCCGTGTTGTGGCTTCCTGCCTCGGAGTCCCGAGCTTCAGAAAGAAGCTTACAGATTGTCAGTCATATGATCCCTCAAAGCCGCAAGAGAAACCTACCTCGGACGTTTGCTGATACCAGCTGTCCAGTAGACTATTCAGCATCTCTCGTTCTGAATTGACTCCCTTCGGGGCCTGTATGAATCCTATCAACTTGGCGAAGTGGATAGTTTGAAGGAATAAGTGCGCCCCGAATGCCGATGTTGCTGCTTGGTCCTGTGACTGATGGGTATGAAACTGCTGAAGATATCCAAACTGTGGCAGCGGCACATTCTGAAACCACTCTGTAGGGAGAAACACTGGGCGTCCAAATGCCAACGAGCACGACTTGTCCGCCATGAACAGTGCCCAGAATAGACATAACCGGCGTTGCTGCTCCGGCGATGAGGTGTCCGAGTTGGTGACTAAGTGCAATCTGAGCACTTGAGCTTGTTGGCAAGCTTGTCCTGTAAGCATCCAAGACATGTTAGGTAATGCAAAATCCTCTCCATGAAGGGCCAACAAGATCAAGGTCTGTATGTTGACCTCACTGGGTTCAAGGAAGATTTTCGCATCATCCAGTGCCAGACGCATGTTCTTTTTGAAAGTTTTGGTGGCGTCGGTATGCTGTCCACTCCCAGTCGCCAGCGTCAGGAGCATGTAGTTAACAAAGACAACCCACGCCTTGGCGAAAACGGTCTCCGGCTCAAACAAGACCTGACGCAAGATGTCATCCGAGGGCGTGAGAAACATGAAATCTCCAAGTTCAGAGTGCTTCAAGAACTGGCCCATCAAGGCATAACCTGTTTCTTTAGTTGGTATGTAAAACTTACTGTCCGGAGCGGCTCCATCGACTGTTCCGTAATGAAGTGAGATATTGGTGAGAACATCAGAGAGGCCTTGAAGGCTTGACTGGGCCTGCTGATGTTCAAGTGAAGGGCTTGATTCATCCTGGAAGGACTGCAGTATTCTTGCCGCTTCGTCCAGGGATGAGAATGTGTGTATTTGTTCGAGTGGCCCTCGTTCAGCTTCGGGGGCAGAGGCCAGGTCACCTCTCTCGTTAGAGGTACTACGGCGAGGAGGTGCCGGCCTACTGCCAGAGATGGCGAGTAGCTGATTTACAGAGTTGGTCAGAAGTTCTAAACTGCTCTCGATACGCTGGAGTCTATCTTCGACTCTGATTGGTTCTGATACCTTTGTAGGCTGAGGCTGCCTTTCTTCGCCGTCCCTTCGTGACTGTTAAGCTTATTGCCAACTTAAGCTTGACAGCATCACTCACCCGCCTTTCGGGGCCCGGCTCTTTACGGATGCCCCGTGCTTCGAGTATATGCACTTTCCAGGCCATGGCTTGCACGCGGTGCACTTAGGGAGTTCTTTGGAGCATCTGATCAAGTCGATTAGCTACTCGTTCGTGACATGAGGAAGAATGGACGACCTACTTGATCTTCTTCTCGCGACAAAAGTCACACTGCTCTTGTGATTAGGATTAGGTATTCCTCTTCCTAGAATGGCATACTCACAGCAAATCGGGGCAAATCTGAGCCCGCAGAAGATGCGTTGTCGTTCATGTCTGTTCCAGGGGTCTCCAGTCGATGTGTTGAAGAGGAGAGAGTTTCCGGATTCCGAGAGGAAGGCTTGGATTGCTTACGGTCGATGCCATTAGTTAGCTTCGGAATGGAGGTCGTCATCCTCCGAGGGCGACCACTCACGGTCGTTGGACTCGGACCTTACACCGCGACTAACGGACTCTAGTATCCGGGCTTGTCCAATCAGAGGCGACAATCTTAACTGTTTTCCCATCGTGAATTTATTAAATAACTGCCGCCATTTTTTCTAGATTTCATAGGGTCTCTAAACTATCTCATAGTCTTATACACTATCTCGAACAAGCTACTTTACTCACCATGGCACCTACGATCGTAATCATTGGCGGTGGCCCTAGTGGTCTCACTCTAGCCCGCCTTCTCGAATGTAACGACATTGACTACGTTGTCTACGAACGCAACATCTCTGAAAACTCGCCACCCGGACAAGGTGGCTCCCTTGACATCCACGGAGCGACAGGACAAGAAGCTCTTAAGCGTGGAGGTTTATCTGCCGAGTTTGAGAAGCTCGCTCGTCGTGATGCAACTGTGGCCCAAATCGCTGACAAGGGCAAGCAGCTCGTCAAGTTCGGTGAGGATCGAGATGCACCCGAGATTGACCGAGTTCAACTTCGGAAACTTCTGCTCAACTCGATTCCTTCACATAAGATCCAGTGGAACAAAGCCGTGACACAAGTAAAAAGGGATTCTGAGGGAAACGTTGTCCTTCACTTTGCTGATGGGACTAACGCAACCGGCTTCCGGCTGGTAGTTGGAGCTGACGGAGCCTGGAGCAAGGTCCGACACTTGGTAAGTTACCCACCACTCCTCCTCACGCCGCGCTTAGAGAGCAAGGCTAACACCCTGTAGCTGACGCCTGCGAAGCCTAAGTACTCTGGTAAGAGCTACATCGAAGGCAAGATTTCACCTGGAAACTCATTCTACAGACAAGTCGAAGCCAGGGTTGGCCATGGAAGCATGCTTGCTTTTGGTTTGAGGAAGCATTTGGCCGTTCAGCAAATGAGCGATGGTTCATATCGCATCTATCTCGGTCTTACAGTGGATGAGAATGCCTTTGCCGTCGGTAACCCGAATGTTGACCTTGTCGCTGATAACGGCACCCTGGCTCGACAGTTCTTCCTGTCTCAGCCGGGATACTTTGCAGACTGGGATAGCGAGCTCAAGGGTATTATCGCCAACAGCGAGGGTGGCTTTCGCTACTGGCCACTCTACCACATGGCCCCTGACTCTCTGAACTGGGAACATGCCCCCCAGGTCACTCTGATTGGAGACGCAGCCCACGTGTCAACTCCATTTGTTGGAGAGGGCGTCAACTGTGCCATGTACGACGCTCTGGTACTCTTGGAGAAGATTCTTGAGTTTGGGACTGGCGACGGCTTGGACCGTGCTGTTGCCGAGTATGAAATGGACATGTTTAAGCGTGGGAGAGACTTGATTGAAAGGAGCATGGAATCTGCTGAGCTTTTGTTTGCTGAAGATGCCCCGAACGGGCTGGTTCAGATCATTCAGGGTAGCTCTGAGTAGTACGAGGGATTGACGACAAAGACAATAGATGGAGCCTCTAGTTTAAGTGTTATTGCTCCGGAAATCAAGCTGTGTTTGCCTTAGGATGCTTAGAACAAACTTCACGAACTTGAGTCAATTTTTGATAGGCATGGATGGACACGGACTGAGGGAACCTGTATTAAGTCCTGAGTAGGACTTTTGATGGTTGCCCTCCGGAAGACGATCTTCTGGCTCAGTTCCCATCAAGGGCCGGGCTACAACTATAATAAAGAACAGATGATCAACACATCATAACCCTCCCGAGGACATGGAGCGTGCTCCTCTGGCGCATCTGTCCCTAAGTTGTCCCATGCGGCCTAACTAAAACAAACACCAGTCTAAAGTGATCGCCCCAGGGACAAGGGTGTAAAGTATTGAAGGCGACCATGAAGCTCCCCTAGCCAATCGGAGACAAGGAACTCGGAACCCGGAGGATCACCAGAACTTGGCTTTGAATCACCTACTTTTGTTGTGCCCCAACCAAATAGAATTACTGTGAATGTCCTGTCCTAAAGACCTGAGCAATTCCTACTTTGTATTCTCTTCTTACCTCTGCGATCAAATTCTGAATCCTCTTAATTCTCCTCTGCAATGACGTTTTCTTCCATCCCTGAGCCGGGTGAACGTCTGTTCTGCACAAGTGATGGTTTTCACCTTCACTACTTTGTTCGTGGTAGTGGACCATCCGTCATCATTCTACCACCGGCATGGGGCATTGGGTCCTTCTACCTCCAAGATAGTCTTGCCGACCTCAAAGCAAATTTCACATTAATCTACCTCGAATTTAGAGGCAACGCGAAATCCACCAGACGCAACTCTGAAGTCATACCGAGCTAGCATCTGGTTAATAATATAGAGGCTCTGCGCCAAGAGTTGAAGCTCGACACTATTCCACGACTAATAGGCCATTCTGGAGGTGGGACTGCTGCCCTTTGGTATGCCATTCGGTATCCAGAAAGGGTTAACAGTCTCATTCTTTTAAATCACCAGTTAGAAGACTTTGATGATAGCCAATCTATCGGGGTTATGCTAGCCGAGAAGAGGCAGGATCCACGTTTCCATACCGCCCTCGAGGCATAGACAAGTTCCTAGGATAACCTCTCTGACTTAGGATTCGCCGAGACAATTCAAAAGTTCTTTCCGGTTTACTTTTACGACCCTTCTTATGCATCAGCATCTCCGTTGGCCACTTTGACAAAGGCTCCTTTATGGAACTATCAGATACTCCATAGAAAATATCGGCGAGCCAAGTGCCAAGAGAAACATTTAGGGCGAGTCAAGGCAAGGACACTGATGATATTTAGCAGAGAAGATCCTATTTGCACGCCCACTCAGGGAGAGGCGACCAAGCAAGGCATCGAGAATTCCGAGCTCGTGGTGCTTGAGCAATGTGGCCATTTCCCTTGGATGGAGAAGAAGGAAGAAACTCTGTATGAAATAACAGAGTTCTTCAGCTGAAAATAGGATTAAATGGAGAATATGTTCGGAAGATTTCGCGGCTCGGACCATTTTTGGTCGGCCTCGGCCAATTCGTCACCGACCTTGGCAGTCGAAGCGTGAAATATCGTGAACCAGGTTGACAGCCGAGATCTACAGTTGCATCGATAGCCAAGGCATAGAAGTTTGACCAATCAGGTTGTTCTTAGGTAGGCGTCATATTAAAAGCCTTCCCGGGAAGGGTCTCCATTTCGCCGAGTGCGAAAAGGATCAACTTGAGGATCGGCGAGTTGTGCCATTGACCGAGCACAAGGGCGCAAACGACATAAGGAATGTTACAAAAACAGTTCTCCGTTATAGTCATCAATTTTTTTCATACTTTCTATCTTGATCTTCTGAGGTGTCCAGTTGCATAGCTCAGGCTTCACCATGGAGGCCGCTACCCAGCCAGAAATGGTCGAAACGACCAGAAGAGGCGTACACCTCGCCCCTCCGCCGACAGACACACAGCAGATCATAAGGCGGATGAATGCCGCTTACGATTGGACTGGCCCTGACGACCCGGACAACCCTCGCAACTTTCCAGCCATTGTGCGCATCCTCAGCATCGCCAGTATCACTTCGCTTGCCTTTGCTAGTTGCTTCGCCGGTGCGATCTACGCCCCTGCTCAAGAGGCCGTCCAAGAAGAATTCCATCAGAGCCGGCTTGTGGCCGTCCTCCCGTTGTCAATGTACAACCTTGGCATGGCTTGCGGACCAATCGTCGGTGCCCCTCTTTCGGAGACGTATGGAAGAAAGACGGTGTTTGTGGCGACGACTCCAATCTTTCTCCTCTTTATGGTCGGGTCGGGATTCTCCAAGAATGTGGTCAGCTTAATTATCTGCCGTTTCTTTGCTGGCGTGTTTGCCGCACCAAACATCAACAACGTATCGGCTACCATCCTGGACTATTCGGAACCTCGATATCGCGGGGCTAGCCTCGGCATTTACTACTCTATCCCTTCTCTCGGCTCGACTATCGCTCCTCTGATTGGCGGCTTCATTGTACGATCCAAAGGCTGGCGATGGACGCAGTGGGTGGCTATCATGGCCACCGTCGGTCTCTACATCCCGGTCCTATTCACCAAGGAGACTTATAAAAAGGTTGTCCTTCGCCGTCGGGCTATCAGAATGGGCCTCGGGGATACTTCCTCTCAGCAGACCTCCGTCACAAGGACGATTCGGCATTTCTTCACAGTCCTCATTCTGAGGCCTCTACACATGTTGTTTACTGAACCCATCGTCACCCTCGTCAGTTCGTACAACGGCTTCATCTTTGGGTTGCTGTATACGTTTGTCACATCAGTTCCCTGGATTTTCCGACATTACTACGACTTTGACGAAACTAGCGAATCTCTCTCGTATCTTGGCGTTACGCTTGGGACTTTCATGGCCTGTGGCCCCTTTGTCCTGATCGACTTTTCATTCTACCAGAAACGTCTCACACGATGGCAGAGAAGCCACGACGATACTGAGCCCTTAGATCCTAAAAACCGTCTGGTACCTGCCATGGTGGGCAGTCTTCTCCTCCCAACAAGTCTTCTCATCGCCGGCTGGACAGCTCAATATCGCATTCACTGGTTCGTCCCTATCTTCTTCCAGGGCATGTCAATGGTGGGCTCTCTGTTGATTTACGCGGGCGTGAATCTGTTCATGTTGGACTCTTACGGACCTCTCTACGGTGCGTCGGCAAATGGTGCAATGATGCTCAGCAGGTACACCCTGGGTTTCGCGTTCCCGCTGTTTGCGCTGCGCATGTTTCAGGCACTAGGTGCTGGTTGGGCAACCACTATTTTGGCTTCCTGTACAATTCTAATGGCACCTATTCCTTGGTGCTTCTGGGTGTTTGGTGAGAAACTAAGGAAGAGGAGCAAATACGAAACAAGTGCATAGATGTATATATATCTGAATCTATTGTTTATCATCCTTCCCCCCAATGTCAACTCGGGGCAAGAAGTGCTGTACCCGTTCACAGCAAGTCAGAAAAACTCGAATCAATGTGTCGTGATACTCAAGTCTCTTGTGGTTACCCTAACGATCTGGCCGCCGGCGGCCCATGTTGCGTAGGTGCAGTCTCATGTGTGTTCCTTTTCCAACATTTCGATTGTCATCTCGTAGCTTGCCACCCTTTTCTGTGCTTCCTCATACTCGCGTTTTGCTTTGTCACGGGCTTCTTCTGCTTCTGCAAGACGCCTTCGTAACCCAACTATCAAGCTGTCGGAAGAAGACTGCTGGGTGTTTGCATCATTGCAGTTTTCCGTGCCGCGAGTGTCATGACTCGAACTGCGCGCTTGACTGTCTTCCCTTGTTCCGTTTCCGCTGTCTGTCTGGCTATTCGCAGCCTCCGAAGCCACCGTGAGAGCTCTTTTGCGCCGTAACTTGCATGCTTTCAGATGTCGCCGGAGTCCATCAGGTCGAGAGAAGCCCGATCCTTGTCTTGACCGTTTGCACGGTTTGTAAGGACAAAGATGCTCCTCTACCTCCCGATTATGTTGTGTCTGCTGATGGCGCCTGAGAGAATCATGCCTTGAAAGGATTTTGTCGCAATCTGGGCATTTTAGTCGGTTGGTAGCAGTGGGCCTGATTGTCTCAGTCAGTTACTGCGTCTCATCGCCAGGGTCAAATACACGCACTCAGATGCCATCGCTACAATGTGGTTGGTAACATCGTCCATCTCCGGTCCGCCCCATTGGCTTTCAGACTGTCTTTGAGGGCCAGACACTAACTCATGCTGCGACGCCGAACCTGCGTTGGAAGGATTCGTGGTGCTTCGATCTGGGTCGAAAGTAGTTGTCGGACCAGGCTGGCGTGTTGAAGTTGGTGGACAAGGCTCTGCATCATGATTCCACCATTCAGCAGAAAATGAGAGATCCCCAAAAGACTGAGAAATGGGATGGACTCCGGATAGATCTAACCAGAGCAACCCGTCTAATAAGTTGTAATGAGCCAGAATTCAAACCAAGCACAGTTGAGGCACTTACCGTCGAGCTCTTCAGGTCGGAGCTGGTATTCAAGAGGTGGCTGGCTGTCTAGACTCGTCCCATCAAAGGTCTTGTCGGGAGAAGGATAAAACATCCAGCAAACTCCCCAAAGGACGACCAAAGCTGGCCAGATTGTCCACGGCATTGTTGTACATGGGGGCCTTATGCGTCCCGGAAACTCAGAGTAGGACAGAAACACGCTATCGTGTAGACAGCCAGCCGACAGGATAGGAACCGCAAGCGTTGGTATAATCTCTCCAAGAGAGCCTCAATTATCATGAGCCAAACAAACATTCCGTCTTCGGCATCTGTTGAGAATGTATTATTGTGTCAAGGACGCCTGTCTCATAGATCTGACCGGAAGGAACTTACTGTGAATGTGAAATAACGTTACCTGTTTTTGAAGCGGGTTTTCGTGCCAGGGAGACTCTTGACACACGCCCCCAAACACAAGAAGCTGTCCAAAGATGGCGTTTAATAGTACATCTTCCATAGAATCTTGGCGATGAGAACTCGATGGAGATTCCTCGGTGATAGACGCCTCATCATCAAGAGACCCCTCCGCGTCAAGACAGGTTTGCCATGAGGGACAAAGCAGGATTGCGGGAGGGGTCCAATTGGCACGACCATCCATAGAGCCTTCGGAGATCGCTGTGGAGCTTCCTCAGATAGATATAGTAGATCGGCTCTGGTGACACCACCACGCAAAAATAGTCTCCTATGCTCTTTCTACACCCAGTTGGGTATATATATTCCTTGCAGAATAGTCTCGTCGGTATAATCGATCGGCCGCCACCACACGAAAATAGTATCCTAGCTCTTTCTACACCAAGTCTTGGACAAGGGTTCCTGTGGAGCCTCTGGAGTCCAGGCCAGTTAGGCCGTATATGCTGCTTGAGGCTCGGTGATGCGAGTGATTTTGAAGAGGTGGGTGGTCAGGGCTAGGGGAAGCTCGTTAAATATAGAATATGGGGGACACTCGGGGGTGGACTTGAGGTGAATGTGGTGGAATTGGGGTGGTGGCGGAGCATCTCCATTAGTGGCTTGAAACCGCATTGTCAGGCAGTCTGACCTCAATGCTGTGCCTAAAAATCAGGCAACTTACAGATATGCAAGAGTCTGACCAATCAGCTGAGATAGTGCTTGCTTCATGAGGCTGTTGCGTTCAGTCGCGCGAGTCGAGTCTCGGGTTTTCGAGTACAGCGTAGCTCAAAGCTAGCAGGCCTGCCATTCATAAAGGCAACATGTATAACTTATCAAAGCTACCAAGAGGTGAGTTAAAAGTTGTCCCTTTTGGTTTTGCCTCCTCTTCGCCCCGACAGGCCTGCCCAAGCACACAGCCTGGAAGCCACGGACTCATGGCCCACCACTTCACCAAGAGGCTGCAGGCTCTGTCACACCAACCAACCCTGAGGCATTTTTGGTTTATTCAGCTCAGGCTTGAGTGGATGCCCAACCATCGGCTCTCACATTGGGAGACTTCCCAATAGCCACTTAAGCCTCCAGTTTGATAATGTCCAACCCAGACGAGGAAAGAATCAAACTTTTGATATCGAAACAGGACCCATTAAACACAACAAGTACGATTGTTCATTCTTTTTTCAGAGCCGAAAAGCTCACCATGAGACAATGGGATATCCGCCGGACGAATGGGACGCCATCATGCCACAGGGCTCACGGAGCCGACAGCGACCTCCCGTGACCACACGTCCTAACAGAGAACTAAGCGACAAAGTACTATCCAAGCCAATTAGAGAAAACCGTGAGATTCGCGTCTTTGAGATAGAGCCGGGATCCGGCAGCGAAACACTGAAAGGAGCTCTTCATCATTGCTCGGTCGACGATGATGGCCGTGTGGGGTGTCTCTACCAACGACTTCACTACTGTAGTCTGTCATATCGCTCTGAGCTATACTTGAGGCCCACCAATATTCGAGGCAACTATTGAATGCGATGGACATGAGAAGAGGATCAGCAGAAGGCTTGAAACTGCGTTGAAGCAGTTCCGACAGCCCCACCGTCACCACTCTCATCTGATAATCTCGTTAGTTGCCCTCGATCGCCATTCTTAGTATCAATATTTAGTTTTCTCCTGTTTCCACGCACGAGCGGCACATTAAAGCCTCTCTGCCAAGTATAACTCGTCTTGTGATAATTGGAGTTTTCATTTGATATTCTCAGTCTAGGACTTGCTCTACACGACACCGACCTATCCGAACAACGACCGCAAGTTCTTCTTCTCCATGACATCAATCCAATGTGTCGACGCAAATCCCGGTAGTTCTTTGTCATACTCGTCCCAGATAGCCTGAACAAGACTCTTGGCCACAATAATTGGCCTAGGCGGAAGCACAGTCTCGAGAATATCTAGTCTGTTGAGTAGAAAACACCGGGCATCAACAATCTTCAGGCGTGATTCGGTGATCGTGGTCACCTGCTCAATCTCCTCATCTGACTGAATTAGACGGCCAATGTACTCCGACATGCTACAGTCTTCAACGCCACCCAGGTTGAAGGGTGATGGGGTCGGGGCGGGTTGTTGTGGGGGAGATCCTGTGGTCTCAGAATCCGAGTCCGAAGAATCGAATCTGAGTCCCGTGGCTGCTGTGATGCAGAGGAGAGGCTGCGTCATTTTGCTGCCAGAGTCTGGAGGAAGCTGCTGTATCAATTTGACTAGGCGAAGGCTCAGTGGGGTGATGCACTCTTCCCAAGGAATCAAAGCATTGTCGAGGACTGAGACATGACTCGGTAGCCTTAGTAGAACCAAGTCCGGGAATGTCTGATAGATGTGTATCAAACCCGCTAGTCGATATGCCTCAGCAACATCGATAAGATGTCGACAGGGCGTCTTTTGATCTCCAGTCTCGCTGTTTGTCGGCGCAGATTCAAAGTCCAGACCCAGAAGTTTCTCCTCTAGTGATTTTGCCTCTTCGATGAGCTTCAACGCTGTCGTGTGATCACGCATAGCCATTAGACCAGGATGTGTAAGGTGATAGCGATAGTTGCGGCAAAGCCTCATCGTTTTCGTAAACAGCCGGGAGACAGTATTCGAGACGCCTGTCCAGGGATGAGGTACATCGTCCACAATCGGGGGAGCCGGCTCGGCAGTGGGATACTCATCGGCTCCAACATCATCGATCTCGTCGAGCTCGTACATGTTGTAAGGGTTAGTGTCAGAAACGACCGACAAGAGCAGTTCGCAGTATGTCCAGCTCTTGTTGAAAATGCGTAATAACCGTCGCTCATCTTCTGTGAGACTTCGCTTTTGTCGGTTTATTCGATACAAGAGAGCCTTGGCCTCCTTCAAAAAGGGTATCCCGAGTTGTGTCGCGTTGAGCCAGCAGATACTGGTCCCTATGCAGAAAAGTCCATAGATCAAACCTAACGGCACGACATCAAGACGAGGAGATGACTTGACAACCTGGAGTTCGTTCTCGATGGCTTTGGTTGCCGTGCTCATCATCAATATCGATGTCTTCTTCATGTGGGGTAGTTTTGAAGAGAGGTAGGCTGATGACATGCTCTGGAGGCTAGTAGAGACAGCTTCGGAAGATGACCAGAGCGCGGTAGCCAATGTCCGGTTGGAGTTTGTTGGAGAATCATACTGCGACCAGAGAGAACATACATCTCTGAACCAAAACTCGACCAGCGATGTTGAGACGTCGGATACTGCAGGCGGTATGAAGACCGGGCTGTAGGTTTGTTGTACGGGGAATAGAGATAGGTCGCTGCCACCATCAGAATAGCCATCTACATTGGTCGTCAAGTCCAAGGTATCCTGAGTCCATTGCAGGTTGTCGATAGCACCGATAGGGATGTCAAGGTCAAATGGGGGAGAGTAGTCGTCGCAGATGGCATTTGCTGGTAGATCAGGCGGCTGAGCATTGTCGTTCTCCTCAACAGGCGGGATCGTCTTCTCAAAAGCAAATTCGGAAAATAATCCCCAGTTCGTGTCGCCAGGATTTGACGCGACAGCAGAACCTGAAGCCACAGATGACGTCTCTCCAGGCAGTGGCTTCCGTCTCGGACGGCCGCGACGTCTCTTGGGAGCAGCAACGCCAACCTGTTGCTTTGGCGACAGCTGGACGTCGAGGTCCGCCAGCTCGGCGTGCTTCTCGTGCTTGGTAGACCATTTGAGGCCACGGTTGTACCCACCGCATTTAATACCACGAGAGAGACAAAGCTGGCAGTTGGGTTTTGTCTCGTCGCATTTGAGCTGGTCCGTACGTCAGCGATAAACTCCACTGGAGCTTTGTCTGCAGGGTGCGTTATCTTACGTGCTTGGTCCTACAGGTCAGACAGCCCGACCGGGACCGCAAGGGGAGGCTCCCGGTCCGCTTGGCAGCAGGGGTCATATCCGGAGCAGGAGTAGTCATGTCGCGACGGCGAGCACGAATGAGCAAGATAAAGAGAGCAAACGTACGAGTCCAGGTCCGAGAAGAGAGAATGGCGGAGTCTCCAGAAGGAGGAGGGAACAAAAGCGAGGATCCCTTTCCCCGCAAGAATAGCAAGGTAGACGAGAACGATACCGGCTGAGTGGCGCGGAAACCCCGGTTACAAAACCCGGATAAAGGACGGACTTGGGACTCCGGTCGAGATTGACAAATCAGCATGACGTCCCGATAAACTGATACCGATTCCGGGAGAATGGCGCCAATGAGATGCCGGCGTATTGTCATTCAACGCTGTTGATTCTCCGCTTCTCGACGTTCACGTGGATCATGCTCTTGACGTGTCGCAGCGGAGATGCTGGAATTGGATATTATAGCCATTGCCAAGAGTAACTGATGGTTTAAATAAATTACCCATATTCTAGTTTATCAACTCAAGTACCTATGCTCGATTGCAAGCAAAATGTGTCGCCTTATCCCGTCGGACTCTCGATCTTCTTTTCCTCCCCACCAACATCATCCGAAGCCTTGAAGACATCCGGCCTCTCTCCCATGATAACGTCGAGCTTCTATTGTAACACAAAATTTTAGTGTTTTCCTCCAACGATTAGAGAAAGGGTATGCTTACCGGTCCTTCAAATGTTTTCCCGTATATCAGCCAGTACAGGGTAAGCAGCACGACAAAGATTCCAATCACGACCGAAACGTAATCTGCGTTTCCGCGAATTAGTACATGCAGCATTGTTATGAAGGTAGAATCCATACTCATCGAGCTAGCGGTAACTGGAAGCGCAGGCGGGAAACAGAAGAACTGGAAGCTCAATGTAAGTAACAATGGGAGAAAGGTCATGATGCCTGTATCCACTTACAACCGAGGTCACTCCCACATACAAGACCGAGATCCAGTTCAGAATAAGCCCACGACGTTCGCCAAGTCTCCAGGGTGTCTCAGATGTTTGAAATTTGGTCACGGTCTTTCTTCCCCGAATGATGATGACTAGAAGCGGAAATGCGTAGGACGCGTTCAAAAAGATGGTGCATGAGGCAACAAAGGCGTTGAAGGCCACCGTCGGCCCCAAATATAGCAGCCCAAAGACGGCATTGAAGACGAAAGAGACCATGATAGTCCGAACGGGAACTTCCAGTGTTGGGCTGATGTGGCTGAAGTATTCATGGAAGACGATGCCTTTGTCTCGGGCCATCGCGTATAGCAATCGACTCGCGCTCGTAACCGATCCATTCGTTCCATGGATGAAGCATATCGCGAGCATAAGACTGATGAAGCACGTTCCTGCTCGACTTCCGGTCGCTTGGAGGATAAGTTCGATGATGGGCATTCCGGTCGAGGTCGTTACGATTGCTTGGAGGTCGGTGAGGCAGAAGAGGATGACGAGGATAAAGACGGTTCCTCTGCGAAGAATTAGTTTGCGACTTGAAGCAGGTTTGCTTGACTTACGTGGTACCTCCAACACCGACTGCATACACCATCGCCAAGGGAGCGTCGTGAGATGGGTCCGGCATTTCTTCCGTCATGTGGAGAACGGCATCGAACCCGATCAAAGAGAGGGCAGATTGGAGAAGACCCAAAATCCACGCCACTCCATCCGTCCATCCTGTTTCGTTCTCAAAGGTCGTAAACACAAATTCGGCGTTGGTCTTGTCCGAAGTCGTGAGCATAACGATGCTGAGAATGACGACGCTCAGGATAGACCAGTAGAGAGCCATGTTGTTCCATGCGCCGAGGATCTTGTTGCATGTAATCATCGAGACGGTCGAAAATGTCAGGATGGCCATGAAGATGAGGTAGGTTTTCCAAGCTTCGGCAACGTATCGTCCGTCCGAGGCCACGACGCTGGCTGCTGAGATAAATTGCGCTGTGCCCAAGTTAGTTGGTTCATCCAAACACCAGAAAGACCCAAATTACCTGCAAAGTAGCCTTCTGTTGTTACCAAAGTGAGCCAGCCAGCAATGTTAATCCAGCCGGCCCAGAAGCTCTGTTGGTCGTCATCAGCATGCTGCCCCACGTCCGGACCCAAGCCGTCTTACCAAGAGCTTCCGCCACTTCTCTGGACACAGCATGTATACAAAATGGTACTGTCCGCCCGCCGTGGGCCATAGAGCTGCAAGTTCTCCTAGGCTAGACGCCATGGCAAAGTTGCAGATGACGCAGAAGATGAATCCGTACAAGAATGCCACCGAGCCACCTGAAGGCATCACGAGACCTATTGAACCGCCGAGGCAGATCCAGGTACTACACGATCTAGATTAGCACCCTTAAACCACATTTTCTGTATATTAACCTACTTTAGAATAGAAAAAGTCATGGCTACCATGGTCAATTTGGACAGCCGGGGTCTGAGGTGGCCCTCGGCCGAGTGGCTATGTGAAGGACCGGACATGGTGGACGCTTCACGGTAGTGGGGCTTGAAGCGTATTGTTGGTGTACCTTTGGCCGTAGAGGTGCTTTAGAAGAGAGAGCATTGAAGTTGTTATATGTCGAGAGGTAGGTGGAAATAGAGTTCGACGGGCCAGGCGAGGTGCTGGATTTACATATGCTGCTGGCCGACAATCTCAGATCCCCTCACGGAGTGACATGCCTCGGAGGCTACACCTTACCAGAGTTCCCCTAGCAAACAGGATCAAACAGCCGACTAAGATGCAATGCCCGTGAGTCGAGCATGACGCGAAGGGGTGGTATCTGATGCTGCATGGGGGCTCGCAAAACCTGGGGTAAGATGCTGTACCATGACTAGCTCACCTTGGCCCGCCAAACACAAGCCGCGATACGATCAAAACCAAGCCTCCCCGTTTGAATCCTTCACGTAATAACATCGCATTACCCCGGATTTCAACATCTCTAACGCCCGCAATGAGTGGCGATCGTGTTCCAGACTGGACCTGTGTAAGTCAGAGACTCATCTCAGCAGATGGAGAAAAGTTAAACACCCCCGCGCCTGGACCCGCCATTTCGGTAGAAGGAGGAATTTCAGTCTAAAATTACTGCTTCGAGTTAGACTCCCACTGTCGCTCCTGACGCCGTCGCTACCAGCTGATCTAAGGCGAGGGGTGTATGATTCGTGCGATTGGCTTCTGACTAGGACGGCATTTCGTTAGAACGGGCTGAGTAGAGAGCTAGAGGCTTGTTTTTCTCGTCAATCTGTGATAAATATCCAATCTGGAAATTACAGCCAGATCTGCGAGAGCCATCATTCGGAAGCGGTAAAGCTTTTCCCATCAACTCTTATCCTTTGTAGATAAGTTATTAAAGGGGAGACGTGTTATCTTCGAATGCGAAAATATGCCTTCTGAGATATCGACTGACTGTATCTTGAGGGGATTCGAGTGTGCCGAAGAACCGAGTTGGCGTTGAGAAGTCTCAAGATGCTTGATTGCTGGCCGATAGCTCGCATAGTGGTATCCTCGGGGCACAAGAAGCGTGTTTTCGTTATCTCTGTGATCCGTATCCAAGTCAATATTGGTGACGAAGATGTGCTGTCGTAACACCAACTCGTAAAGTTTGAGTGTCCATCCGTGAGACCGAGCTCAGATGACAGCCCAGATAGGTTCTCGCGGCATCTTATCTTGGTCGAAAGCGATAGTATGCCAAATTTTTCCGCAAACAAAAGATAATGTGTAGAAAGTAATGTGATCTCCATGATTTTCGCATGCTGAGCTTGTTCGAGTGGCCCGATCTCGGCGTCTCGACCTCGGATGTTGACCGGTTGGTTCGAAGTCATCTGTTGAAACGCTGATAAAAGACGGTCGTTATCCACTCTACGGAAACATTATTTGCGGCGCATGGAGCAGTATGGCACGCGAAAAAGTCCCCAGTAGAGATGTGGTTTGCAGTTGGCCATGTCCTTGAGCACACGAGGCGACACGTTCCTAGCCAATGAGAAGCCGGTTCTCGATCAGTGACACAGGGTGACCTTGGTCAAAGAAAAGATATATCCTGTCGTCGAGAGTGTTCTGATGTTCAACTGTTGCCGCATCTTGGCGTTGGTCGGTGTTGTTATTTGTTGTTCCTCATGTCCTGGCTATATCATCTTTTCCTCCACGCTGCACAACTGTCCGTATACGAGAGAGTGCACCTAGGCCAAGATAGACACTTCATGACATGTACTTGTAGTATATTTCTTGTATGCATTTTGTTGTTGGGGGACTCGAAGTTAAATGCTGTTATGTAGGCCCTGAACTGTGGGGTTGGATCGAGCCTTGGTTGCTTGGGTGTGAGTAAAGCATGCTGGGCCTTTCTTTAGGGCACTAGGAGGCGCCCCCCTTCCAAAAAAGACTTGGAAAAATCATTTGCCCTTCGATCTGTTGTGTCATCTACCCAACCAAGGTCGTCCTGATGTTTGGTGTTGGAGTGTTTGGGTGTTGGTGGGGAACAGATGATCCTCGAAGGCTTGAATGCAACGTTTTAGAGAAAAGACGGGCAAAAGATGGCAGGGCATCTTTAATTATAACTTTGAACCCTGACGAGTTGTTCTCAGGAGCTCTACCAATTTGGGCAAAGTGATCCGGGGTCCTGGACTTGGCACCCATTATCTCCTTGCTTGCGCGCGCAGGGACCTGCCAAACCAATTATGATTAGTATACTCACTAAAGTTAAGTTAAAGAATTAACCTATTCCTATATTATGCTTATAGAGTCTTAGATAGTGCTCTAATAACGGGGATGAGTGTGATCTTGCAGTCCCCGGACGTACACAAGCCGTGGACCTCGCCGCCGTGTTAAACTTCCTATTTTGGACTACGGCATCGCCACCCGCCGTCAACCGGCCTCAAAACGTTACTAGATCTGGCTCTGTAAAGCGAGTCTTGTATCGTTACTCGTGAAGATATAAGCGCCGATTCTACTAAGTCCATGTAATTCATTGGCCATGTCTATGACAACGTCGACGTTTATAGAATTACCTTCCTACCAGTTTATTTGCCAATCACGCAATACGTTCTAAATAAAGTTTAGCATACATGAAGACATGGATAGGGATATGGGTCTTTGGCTATGCCGGTGATTTGACAAATTCCCAGGCTTGCCAAGCAATCTGGTACAAGTAATGGAAGCCTTGCTGAGGCTGAGAAAGGAAGTCAGCTTATGCGTCCGACGTGGTCGCGTGCTATTGGCGCGTGGAGGGCGAGGGTGCGGGATTTCACCATCCCCTGTCAGCTTTATCTTTCGTGAAATACATGTCCTTCCATCAACTCTAGATGCGCCTGCGTCACACAACCATTGGCCCAACGAGCGCCATAAACTCTTGAATTCACTATTTGCTCTGTTTAGAAGACTCGAAACCTAAGACATCGAAGCGTAAGAACCGCCAAGAGCCTGTCAGAGCACTGCACTTCAGCAATCAGCCTCAAGACTAGTACCCCGAGGTTGACCCAACATTTCTTGCACCACAAACAAGGCAGTCAAGTTTTGTTTTGAGTAATTTTGGCCTCTGGTTTCTACCAAGCAATCTTATCCCGCCAATATCCTCGGCATGGATGAGGTTGAGTCATCCTTCTCTTCATGCTCCTCTTCCCTGGGGCCTCCAAAGCCTGAGGATCTCTTGGAGTGGCTGATCCCCGTCGCCTACGACCAGCAACAAGCCGAGTTCACTCACAGACGCCATCCTGGGACGCTTCAGTGGTTTCTCGATTCTGACGCATACCAGAAATGGATACATGCACACTCAGATGCGGAGCTCGACGTGCAGACACAAGACCTCCGCACGCTCTTCTGTCCAGGCTCAGAAGGTGCAGGAAAGACGATCCTCACATCCGCAGTAGTCCAGGACCTTGGCCATCGTTTCCAGCGGGGCGCCAATTCGAATGTAGGCATCGCATATTTGTACTGCTTCTACGATTGCCAGGGGCAACAGTCTACCACAAATCTTCTCCTCGCTCTTTTGGAACAGCTCCTTCTGAACTCCCCTCGTAGCTCACCCCCAACCCGGCTTTCAGACCCCACACAAAACAGATTCGCCAATCCGCCGTCCCTAGTCGAGATCGCGGAGGCATTCAAGGAAGTCATTGCGAGATATGATCGTGTATTCCTCGTCATAGACGCGCTGGATGAATGTGCATCTGAAGTCAGAACTCAACTGCTCAAACAGATAAAAAGACTCCAAACTGACAAAAGAGTACATCTTTTTGCCACGTCCAACTCCGATTCCGATTTCAATCACATGTTTGCCAACGCACCTTCGTTAGAGATCCAGGCTGATCCAGAGGATGTGCGATCGTATCTGGAACTGGGTATGGACGAGCTGCCAGCTTTTGTCAAACGAGGCCCTGCCCTCAAGGAGGAGGTTGAGGGTACCATCATCAAAGCCGTTCCAGGGAGGTGTGTTACCCTGCCCTTTTCAACTTTTGGTCATTTAGCTAACCTCAACTGTCTTCCAGCTTCCTCGCACCGGCTCTACAACTCAAGTTCCTAGCCACTATGTCGCCAAGCGAAGATCCTCGAACAGCGCTTGAAGATGTGGCAAGGGATTGGGTCTCGGACCATTACGACGCTCTGTACGAAGCGTTAATGCGTCGGATCGAAAACCAGGCCCCTGACAAGGCCACTCTTGCCAGAAAAGCACTGTCGTACATGGCATGTGCAAGGTCTCCGTGGACTGCTGCTGAGCTATGCCATGCGCTTACAGTAAAGGTTGGAGATACCAAGGTGGACTCGAACGCCATGCCGTCCCTCCAAGCTATCATGGCCGCATGTTCGGGGATGATGGTTGTTATTGGCAGCGAGGAACGAGATGAACACGACGAGACAATGAATCTAGACAAGGATGGTGACAGTGACGAGGCCGCCGTAGCTCGACTGGACCGCATCGCGGTTCGATTGGTCCATCGCACGGCTCATGAATACCTCCAGCGAACCAGCGAGCGGTGGCTTCCGGAAAAGGACAAGCTGATGGCAACCTCTTGCATGGCGTATCTGTCTCTTCACTACTTCTCTGACGGCTCCTGTTCCCAAAAAAGTGACCTGGAGCTGCGACTGCGTATCGTTCCGTTGTACTACTATGCCGCGCTGCACTGGGAATTCCACGCCCGAGTAGCTCTTGGAAAGTTCCCAGATTTGGCCAGCATTGAATTCGAGTTTCTGGGTTCTATTGCGCTTATTGAAGCGGCCTGTTGTTTAATGTGGATGGCAGAGCAGTGGCCAGAAGATGATGAGGACAAATTTGGGGATTTTCCTCGTGGTATGAATGGGCTTCACATCACAGCATACTTTGGGATCACCAACCTCGTCTGCGCACTGGGTAAAGACGCAGGCGCAATGGTCAATACCGTGGATGAATGGGGCTTCACGCCACTAGCCTGGGCAGCGAAGAAGGGACATGAAGAAACCGTCAAGGTCATTCTCAAATTCACGGCCACAGATGTCGACGTCAGGGACAATCGAGGTCGGACACCCATATCCCTGGCTGCTATAAGTGGCCATACCGCCATCGTCGAGATGCTCCTGGACCACGGCTCTAATCAAAACTTCAAGGACTTTCGCCAGGAAACCCCGCTATCGCACGCGGTCAAGGGAGGACACACCACCACGGTGGCACTTCTCATCAGGTGCGGCGTGGATTCGAATGTAGTCTCGACTGAGGATAAGCTGGTGCATACGCCATTGTCTCTGGCGGTCATACATGGCCACGATGAGATTATCTCCCTGCTTCTATCCCAGCCGAACATCCAGCCGCGAGCCAAGTTCGGGCCATCAGGCATGAGCTTATATACGCCTTGTACTGCACTAGGGCTAGCTGTGTCCGGTTGTCACTTCAACGTCGTGGAAAGGTTCCTAGCGAACCCTGATATCGCAGCGGCAGCCAGGACGGGCGAGGATGGTGAAATGTTATTACATTTAGCTGTATGGAAAGGTCATGAGGAAATGGTTCGGCTATTGCTGAGCATCGACATCAATGCCAACACCCAGTGTGACAAGGGAGATACGCCGTTGCACATCGCCACTTATAGGTCCCATAGAGCGGCCGATGGCATCGCAAGGCTCTTACTCTCCCAGCCCGATGTGATGCCAGACCTCGTGAACACAGCTGGAAACACGCCCGCGTTATTGGCGGCATCTCAAGGCCGAATTGAGATTCTGCGATTGCTGCTGGAAAAGGGCGTGGATACTGAAGCCAGGAACAAAGGTGGGCTCACGTTGCTCGGGGTAGCGGCTAAGAACCGCTGCCTACCTGTGGTGGAGCTTCTTCTTGCCACGGATGGTGTCGACGCAGATTCGAGAGACGCCGTAGGCTGCACCCCTTTAGCACTGGCCGCTATCACGACACGGGAGGATGGCTTTGATCCTGATACCGAATGCGTCCAAGACAACTCCGGTGTGATTTGGTGCCTCCTGAATTCGGGCCGCGTTGATATCAACTCGCGTGATGATTCAGGTCAAACGCCGCTCATGCATGCCACCCAGGACCATCATGATGATTTCCCCTCTTTCAAAATGCTCTTGAATCACGAGGGAGTTGATCTAGATGCTATGGACAACGGGGGCGAAACGGCACTGTCTCAGGCCGTGATCACGGACGAACAAGACAAGGCGATACTCCTGCTCGATAAAGGGGCTGATCCAAACCTGGTTCGACTTGACAAGGGCGAGACACTTTTGTCTCAGGCAGCCGGGCACGGGATGGTAGAGCTTGTGCGGGCTCTCATATCACATGGTAGAGTGGATGTCCAAGAACGAAATGCTGATGGCCACACGGCCTTGTGCCGGGCGGCGGCGGGAAACAAGGTGCAGGTGCTTGAGCTGTTGCTGGGCGCGGAAGGCGTAGATATCAATGCCAGGTGTGACCACGGGCAGACTCCATTACACCATGCTGCAGAGGCATGGAAGGGAGAGGAAGTTGCTTCGTTGTTGTTGGCTAAGGGTAATCCGGACCTTGAGGTCCAAGACATGGGAGGGAGAACGCCGCTGCACTGCGCTTCCCAACTGGGATCGGAAGCTCTTGTTTCTTTGCTACTAGATGAAGGCGTCGCTAATGCCAACTGTCGAGACCTGGAAGGACGGACCCCTCTGTCCCTTGCCGCTCAGCGAGGGCAATTGCAGATTGTTGACAAGCTGATGTCGCTGAAGGGTGTCATTGCTGATGCGAGGGACAAAACAGGGCGCACGCCTCTATCTTGGGCAGCGCAATCAACGCTCACGGACGCGTCGGCCATTGTCAAGCGGCTCCTCAATACCGAGGGCGTGGACCCAGACGCCGAGGACGAGAAGGGATGGACACCGCTATCTTGGGCGGTTCAAGGCAACAGAGCCAGCGACCTGGTAGATGCGCTATTGGTAGAGGGGGGCAAGAGGATTGATATCAATCACGAGGATCGAAAGGGCCGCACGCCGCTTGCATTGGCCCTGAAGAGGGGTCATGAGGTTGTCGTGGGCCAACTGCGGGCGGTTGGCGCCAGAGAAGAGTGGCTGCATGAGTATCCTGTTTCATTGTTCAATGATGAACACGAGAAGCAGGGTGGCATAGGCATATCCCATGCAGAGCCTGACGGTCCAGTATGTGAGAAGGATGCCGAGTCGCCAAGGGAAAGCGACATAAGGTTGCAGCCTGCCTTTTCTGAAGATGATTTCTTGACAGATTCGTTGGAGAAGGATCGTTGGCAGAGGGAGAGGAGTCGTTGGCTGAGTCCGAATTGGTTTGACGACACTCGAGCAGACACCGACAGCAACGAAAGCGATTGGAGCGGTACGAGTGACGGGAACTATGACAGCATCACCTGGTCGCCAATCGAAACCCAGATCAAACTTGGCGCTCAGGATCATGTCCCCAGCGGCGATGAGGGCAAGGACGTGGAGGGACTCTGCCTCCGATGCAAGACCCTTGATCTCGACCAGCTCTTCTCACGCTGCCCGCCCGGCGGGTTCCGTGCAATAGTAAATCTAGGCGATATCGACCAGAGCTGGGAATCTCGGCCATGTGCCATGTGCAGGTTGCTAGCTGCGGTTCGTCCTCGGGGGGGCACCGAGGACTGTGAGCTATGCGCCTATTCAAGCACTGCCTGGTGGCTATCGAGGGGCTTGCCGTCAGTCATGAATTATTTCATGTCCAACTGGGTTGACACCATGATTGTGGGCATAGAGTACGGGACTTCTCGCTTCAATTCATTCAGCAAGAAACACCCATCTCGCAATGTAATGGCATCCTGGAGGGCGAACGAGGATATTTTGCCTCACGGCTTCATCAGCCGTGTTGGGTCCAACGACCGTTACCGCCTTCGATCGCTCACAGTTCATCAACTACAAGCAGATCAAGTTGACTTTGAGCGAGCTCGTGGCTGGATTGACTGCTGCGCGGCATATCATGGTAGACGGTGTAACCCTAGTACCCGCCGGCCAACAACCTCGTTTCGACTTATTGACTGCATGACGAGAGACATTGTCGATGGCTATTCAGCCATTGATCAGTTCGTCGCGCTTAGTTACGTCTGGGGCTCTTCGACTCGGGAACCAGCCACTGTGGACCACGTTCGCGCCGAAAAGGCCGAGCGTGTCGTCGAGGACGCTATTCAGGTCACCCAAGCGCTAGGATACAGGTATCTCTGGGTCGACCGGCACTGCATTACCAACGAGGACGAGGAGATCCGCAGAAAGCAGCTTTTGGAGATGAATGCCGTCTATGCAAACGCACAGGTCACTATTGTGGCTGCCGCAGGGGAGGATTCAGCCTTTGGCCTACCAGGGGTCAGTCGTCCTCGTCAACAGCCCTGCGCCAGGATTCAAGGCCACACCTTGGTGGCCGTGCCCCCTGAACCGTCCAAAGTCGTAAAGGACTCCATCTGGTGGACGCGTGGGTGGACATTTCAAGAGGGAGTGCTATCCCGTCGCCGTCTAATCTTCACTGAGCATGAGGTCTCGTATGAGTGTCGGGGCATGGTGGCCCGAGAGAGTGTCGAGAAACCAGAGCGCGTCCATCGAATTGCTGCCACACGGTATCCCATACACAACGACTTGACCCTCTTTTCTCGGCGGGGCGATCACAAGTATCACGGTCCCAGCTTCTCTATCTGGACTCACATCTTAGAGTACACCGAGCGGTACCTCACACACGACCATGACATCCTCAATGCCATGCTTGGCATCATGGAAGTTGCCGCGGAAGGAAAGAACCCCGTTTATCACTTATGCGGTGTTCCTATTGTCCCAGGAAGCCCCTATACGACCTACAGACCAACGCTCCTCGAGCGGTTTCTCAAAAGTCTTTGCTGGAAGGTATCAAGTGGGACTCGACGAGAGGGATTTCCGAGCTGGTCTTGGACAGGGTGGAAGGGAAAGGCATCCAGCCCCGTCGTGTTATTAGTCTCTTTCAATCTCGACTTCCCCATCGAGGTCTCCATGGTGCCACGAGATGACCAATCTAGGACCGTATCATGGGCCGAGTTTGAGGCCATGGGGCCGAAAGAGAAAGCAGCCCTGCCTCAAAATTACATCCTGGAGATCACAGGCGTTGCTGCAGATGTTAGCATTCGCTACAAAAAGGTCGAAACATCGTACGTCATCCTGTACAATGGCGATGATGTCCTCAGAGGCTCCGTTACGCTATGCAAAGACCCGGAACGGGACGCCAGCTTTCTACGCCGATTGGCTGAGGAGCGTCTGAGAGCCGTTGTGATTGGTCATGATGCTGGCATTTACCACGGCCCATGGATTCTCCTTGCTCTTGCCAAGGTAGGTGACTTTTGGGAGAGGATAGGTGTGATCCACCTGCGAAGCGAGCCGGTGCTGGACGTTCACGGAGGGGGTTGTAGAAGACAGACGTTTCTTATAAGATAATTTGGAAGTCAATAGGTCGAGATTGAAAAATTGAAAACACGACTGGATAGAGAGGTGAACAAAAGTCAGAGCCTGGATGTAGATGACGAGGTAGAAGGGGGACGCAGGGCGTTTCTCCTCTCTTGGCAGACAATGAGGTCTTTTCTTCTACAAGAAGGCTTACCATCAGGCTTGAAGTCGGTACAAAAGACCCAAACTCTGATTTCAGGTGGTTGAAGACATGTTGAAAAACCACGGAGCCAATCAGGTAGTTGTGGATAAATTGGACGGCTGTGTTGGTTGTCTGTATCTTGGCGACAGGTGATTATGGAGGGCAGGGGACTTTTGTAGCATTCAACACCCTGTCAACACAACTGCTGTGCCGCTTGGTCTCCTTATTTTTAAGCTCAAGACACCACCATTCCTCGGTTATTCAACTTGTCCATCTTCAATCATTCGACATGCCCACCACAACCGAATACTTGGGCTACACCATCACCAACCTCGGTCCCTTGACCACAACCTACACTGCCCCGGCAGAATGCGCTACGGCCACGGATAATATTGAGTTCGTACTGGCAGATGCGCCCTGGATTCCTGGGGCTTGGGGTTACCCGTCATGCGTCCCTGGTGATTATGGAAAATGCATTCCCTCCGGTGCCGCATATGATAAGCTGGCCAAAGAGCACGCCTACACTTGGCAAGAAACTTTCTTTCCATACTACTCTCCAGGCCTTGTCTGTCCCAAGGGATGGACCACTGCTGGCGAATATGCCAAGAGCAAAGGAACTCCAACAGAGGGAATGCTTACCGTACAACCCGAGTGGAGCATCACGGTGCCACAGATACTCGCTCTCACCCCGATTTGGTCCTCGGTTCTAGAAGACTCTGAGACCCTGGTCTATTGTTGCCCTAGGTGAGCGAACTAGGCCTGGTGCCGTACCGCGACGCTGACCATGCTTTGAAGCGGTTACACAGGTGACAACTTTCTGAATTGTCATTCTGTCATGGGTCCCTTTACCGAATTCAGTTATACTATAGGCTGTATTCACACCTGGTCCAGCCCATACTACACGGAGGTTACGGCAACCTTTGACGGCGCCGAGTCACCATACCTCTCAAAGATAAAGATGACGCAACAGCCCGGGACGGATTATTGGGCCGAGACAGCTGAAGAGGAGGATATGGCGGTTGCCACAAAAGTACCAGCTGTGGCGCTGGTGTACCAAAGTTCAGACCTAGAGAAGGCAAAAGCGACTGGTGAAAGCGAGAAGAATGCGGCTACGGCTCTTCTACCTGTGAAAGGTATGATACCGGTGGTGACAGTGGTAGTGAGCATGCTTGCTGGGGCTGGACTGCTGGCACCCTGGTGAGGGAGTGCAGATATATGAGCCTGGACTGGATGTTTACCGTGCTTCAAGCAACTTCATATGATAGAGGAGGAGTTATGAACCTAATACTATAAGAAATAAGTCTTGCAAAACAATAAAAACACCTGCCCTACGCCTTTATCTACCGACCGAAGAACATCATTTTCGACCATCATCGCTATAATTTGATACCATATCCTCTCTCGAGTCCAGATCTTCTAGCGGTATCTCAGCATCTATTATCTTGTATCCCTTCCGCATCCTATACCGCCTTACACCATACCTTATCCCCACGACCATTAACGTGATGCACGCAACCATCACCGTCAAAGATGCCACGAATCTCCATCCACGTAGACAGCACGGGTACCATGACATCAAGAACCCAACAGCCACCTGTATAAACTTCTTGGCCTCGGGGTTGTCAGGAAATAGTCCTTTCCGTACGAGTCCCTTGAAGATTGGACCTTGCGGACCTGAGACGTAGCGCTTGAGGCCAAAGACGGGAACTGTCCTCTGGCGAGGGTCGTCACCGGCATATTGGGTATCACCCCAGATGCCATTGAAGTAGAAAAAGGAGGTGAGGTTCGAATCGTGAGGCGAGGTGGATTCGGGGGTAAACAGGCGGGTCAGCTTGAAACTGGTAGGGTCCATGTGATAGAAGTATGCCGATGAAACGGGGTCCCAGAGCTGGCCAGCATCGCAGAAGTCTAGCAAGACACTGTCATGAACGTGGTCGCTGTAATAGGTAGAGTCAGTTAGCCCTTGTATGCCAGAGGCGGATAGAGAGTATCAACTCACCCCGAAGATGCGAAATTTGCGTGAGAGCCGTATGCGCTGTAGACGAGAGGCTGTAGGCACTTATGTTAGAAACATGATAGCAGCTCATGTTTGCAGGCTATGATAAAGACTCACCCGCTCGTCCTCCAACGAAAGGCGCGTATCATTCCATTCATAGGCAGCACCGCTCGAGTGCTGACTGTAATAAATGCCAGTGGGTTTTCCATCGCGAAAACGAACCATGTTGTGTTCCCTTGAGAGACATGTTAGTCCAAAATGTTGGTCAAAGGGGTAAACCGAAGCTCACCAGTCGCCGACATGGCACCCATAGTGCATTCCATCGGCCATGCCCATTGCGAAGCTGTTCAGCGGCTCTAGGACTTGCGAGATATTTGCTCCTCGATCGTATGAATAGAAGTAGAAGTAGAACACATCGACATCACGGGGACCCTGTTCAACAATAATGACGGCACAGGCTGTCGCGTTGGAGATCCTCCCCATCTCATCTGGTGTCTCTCCGTAGAGCCATGCCGGTAGGGCTGTGATGTCGTCGTTGGAAGTAAGCGCGACGACTTGTTTGGATTCCACATCAACATTGTTGAGTAAGTCTAAATTGTCTAGGTCGAGAGCCGGCAAGCCAGATACGGGCTTTTCGTTAACAGTAGGTGCCGTGCGGCGGACATGCTCAAGGATGTCTGATGGTCGGAATGGGTCTTCTGAATGTAGCCAGACGAGGGGCGCTATCGCGGAGGGTATCAATCAGTTTCTGTTTGGACGTGGCCTGGGTCTCTGATGCCAAGGCGCCGACTTTGAAGCATGCGATGAATGATAAGAGGTGGTTTCATACCATAGCGTGTGATATAATCTGGTACAGTTCGGTTGGCATCGTCTAGGATAGACGAGGTTGCGTGCTGGGCCAAAGTAGGCTTGGAAAGGACCATGAAAATCTGGATCTGGGCGACCAGGAGCCAGACCATCAGCCCCTGGAACGGCCCGAGAGCACCCCGTTGGCGGGACATGAGTGCCCGTCTAACAATGCGACTGTCCAGACCTTGACTATCCGAAGACACAGGTGCAAGTCGCAGTGGGGTGCAGAAGCCGTCTACTCGAGAGTAGGGTTGAGAGGTGAGAAAAAAGAGAGGGAGAAGTCGTCAGGTGCCCTATTCAGGAATAGTTGGAGGCTGTGCTGAGAGAAGATGACAGAAAATGAAACAAGGTGGTAAGGACCAAGGGAACTGAGAGCCTGATAAAACTGCACTGCAACCAGGCTCTCGAGTCGGGGCAGTCAATTTTCCCTTGAGCCCCTGCAAATCTGCCTCCTGCAGCCAAGCCAAGATCCCTCATCAAACCCCACGCCACAGCGCTTAGCAGTGAGATTCCATTTCGTCAAGTTTCGGGAGCCTCGTATCTGTCAGTGAATGATCTAATTGCCAGTTACGTACTCCGTACATTACCTCGCCTTTCTTTTTATGCCACCTTGTCTCACATTCAGCACACCTTTATCACCTCGTTTAGGGTGCCGTCAAAGCTGACATGGTGCGGGGCAACCAGGATGAGTTGAAGCCTTAAACATCCTTCATGCAGGAGACAAGGGTCGACGTCAGGAAGTCGGGGAAAGAAGCAGGGTTTTTATCTTCCTCTGGGGATGAGAAAGGTGGCATCTTGGACCGAGTGTAAGAGTAAGTTTTCTCTATTTAACCTTTTGGCAGACGCCAAAGAAGGTTGTTCTAGATTACGGTGTTTTTCGGCGTTGTGTATGTGTTAATAACCGTGTTTTTTGCTATTGTGGCTGATGGCTTGCTCTCAAACCGTCAGGCCTCATTTTTTTTTCCTCTTTTTTGTGCCGTGTCTTAGCCAAGCCTTTGACATGAGCATCTCCCACGCCTTGAATATGATGGCTACAGAACCCCTTTTGTATTGGGCGCGGATATGTCGTGCAACACATACAACTGTTTTTTGGTAAGTTCTACGACCGATGAAAAGCTAGAGCGATTCCTTTGGCGAAAATTTACAAGACACTAGACATGGGTTTAATCAAGGGCTGCAGAATTTTCGTACAGATTCCGAGCACATTATCATCGCGGCAGGCATTGGACACTGAGAGCCTTGTGGGCTGTGTGACCTGCAGCTACAGGGGGGGGGGCTGCAGCCGATGTTAAATGTGCACCAGTCTGATACGTCGGGGAGGGGAGTTGACATTGGACCAACAAGGCGAGACTTTGGGGAACCAGTCAAACTGGACCGGAACATCTCCGAGTCTCCGAGAAGAAAGCTGAAAGCCACTCTGAGGCAGTGACAAGAATTAACGCATCAAATAATCAAATCAAGCAGGGATGGTGGGGGAGGGGTTCAAATATGAAGGTAGGGGGAAATACGTTGATAATCAGGCTCTAGGAAACGACCCGTGCCCAAGAGCCTCTAGATCCCACATACCGGGGCCGTGGAATCATCTGAACTGTCATACATCATCAGTAGATTAACCCGAGACGTACGACATCCAGCTTAGCCATATAATATTACCCGGCGTCACCTGTCAGTCTCGGCATCTGCTTTTGATCCAGGTCGGACCTGGGGACCAAACTTGAGACCATCATGCCGCAGCAAGCCACAGTCTCTCTTTCCTCTTGCCGGAGCTAGACCCTTGCTTCTTGTCAGCCTCCATCTTCGTGGAGACGAATCAACATTCGCTGCCAAGCAGGAGCTGAAATGCTGTGGTGCCCGGCCAAGATGCAAGTCGAACTTGCTGTTGTTGAGACGTAGCTACGAGCCGAACCACATCAAATTAGATGGCGTCGGAACACCATTTCCGACACACGGATGCAAAGTGCAAGTGTCGCGTTTAATGTACGAAGAACTGGCTCAAACATTCAGAGTGGAAACCTCAGCCATCTGCAGCCCGAAAATAGACGCCAGCCTGATTTCCTCAACTGCCTTGAAGTAGGCACGTTGCCAGTACCTTAAGAAGGCACTCCAACATCTCCAACTTCCATCCATCAAGCTCGCTTCTTTTACAGACTTTGGTCTGTCTTCTGGCTCAGTTATCCCATTGAGGGCCGTGCTTCAACTATATCAAAGAGCACATTACATTTTCAACTTCGAAATATCCTTTCCTTCAATACTTCATCAACCAGTAGCCGTCGCAATGCCGTTCACGAGCCTCAGACCCCACGTCATCCTCTTCCTCCTCGTATGGGCCACCAACGTTGGCTTCACCGTCGCCGCAACGTCCGTCAAGCAGTTTAAACACTGGTATCCGCAGTATGGAGGCATCTTCGAGAACATCATGAAGATGAACTGCACCGCCGAATACGATAAATACATAACCGGCTATAAGAACCATTCCGAGATCGACTGGAGGGCTGGCGGTGGAATATACACTGCCCTGACGCAACCAGTCATCGACTGTCTCCTCGAAAACACGTCCGAGTTCCTCAAGGGTAGCATGACAGGCGCCCAGATCCTACTCGGTGTCATGCCTACTATCATCGCCCTTCTCGGACCATCTCACGACGAGATAGCCATGCTATCGAATGTCGGAAGGAGACCACTGTTGGCCGCCGGGATGGCTTTGGCGTCCCCCTCGGCATACTTCAGCAGAGCATTCGAGTATAAAAGTCCGGCCGAAATCCTCAGCAAAGACGAGCAAAGACTTACCCAGTGGCGCCCACATCGTTCCATGTTGCTGGTCTCGTTTCTGGAATACGCTCTCGTTACTGCAGCCTGTTACAATGTTGTGATAAATACCCTGGAAGTCAGCCGCAAGACTATCAGTTCCTTCTCATCAGATATGGATTTCATGCCGAATCTGTGGTTGGTGCTCGGATTCTGCATCCACGTTTTCAGCGGCGTTGTCTTCCGTCTAAGGCTTCGGGGCTGGAGGGTCAAAGAGAAGAAGGCCAAAGGTAATACGACAGCCTCCAACTTGGACGAAGAAAAAATGACAGTCACCACCTCGGGCAAAGGCAAAACGACAGTCCCAAGCTCGGACGAAGAAAGATCGGTGGACCCCAACTCGGACAAAGACAAAATAAGAGGCGCCGACTCAAATAAAAATAAAACGACAATCGCCAAGTTGAAGGACTCCTTCCACGATGTCGTCGATTCTCTCATCACTTGGATTGAGGGCACCGGACCAAGGCTGGTAGCTATCATTACCACAACGGAATTCGTTCCTTGCGCTGCTGAAGGCTACAGCGTCCGCATTCGGGCGTTCACGGAAACCAAAACGTTTTTGTTCCTGGCGTGGGCACTGTCTACCTTCACTATCCTACACGTGGTCTTCGGAACTCTTGTTTTTGCCAGCATACTTTTTGTCGGTATCAAAGATGCTCTGTCCATTGTTGGCAGGTATATCGCGGCGGTGGTGATTTGTCGCGTCATTCTTATGTATGAGTTGGCTGGTATGAGGGAATGCTGGGGATGTCTAAATGGCAATAACCCTGACGGCAAAAAGCCTGCCGACAAAGGCCCCCTTTGTGAGTGTGCAGCGTCATCATCACCAGCCCCCTCTACGTGTGGCAAGGACCCATTATCCTCCTCCTCCTCCTCTGCCCACACCTCCCCCCGCCAAGAGCAGGACACCCAGGGTAGAGAGTGAGACATCTAAGAACGGGTCACTCGCTGCTGTGGCTTTAGGAAGCAGGCCAGGGGGGAATGCTGTTGGTGTTGACATGGTTACCTGTGGAACTGTTGTTTTTGCTGTGCGGCTGGTGGCTAACAACGTCAATCCATGTAACCCTTGAGGTCTTTACATAGAGGTATCAATTCACTCATTCTGACTGACGGCTTGGGGCAAAACATTGGTCATCTACGCTGCGCTCTTGGTGTCGACGTGGTAGTTTCATAGATAGGCTTACCTAACTCCTCATAAAAATGTCATAAAATAATCTAAGAAGTTAGAGTACTTTTGTCTATTTTTATTGCGTTTTCTTCACTAAATTTAGGGGATAATACTCTAATATGTCTGCCCGTTTTGCCGTGGACCTGGGTGGCCCTATTACCGGCCCTGCACCAGACGAACCAACAGTGTGAACGTAGTAGTTTCATATAGACTTAACGTACTTGATAAGCAAGTGAGCCAGTCAAGCAAGTGTGCCAAAAATCCCTCAACCTACATCCTCTCCATTTGATCAATTAATTCTCAACCACCCAGCATGTCACAGTCTAATTGTGAGGCTAGAATGCTTCTTGCCCTTCGGGCCCTTCAAAATAACCCAAAACTAAGCCTCCGACGCGCCGCAGATACATATGAGGTTAATCGAATGACATTACGTCGCCGACAGCACGGCATTCAATCTCGACGCGATACTATCCAGAAATCACGTCGGCTATCTAATCTAGAGGAAGAGATCATTATTTACTTTATTCTCGACCTAGATTCGCGAGGATTTCCTCCCCGGCTACGTGCTGTTAAAGATATGGCTGATCAACTGCTTGCCGACCGCGACGCGTCACCGGTTGGCACGCGTTGGGCTCATAACTTCGTCAAGCGACACCCAGACCTTAAGACGCGTTTCTTTCGTAAATACGACTATCAGAGAGCCAAATGCGAAGATCCAACCATTATCCGCGATTGGTTTCGGCTTGTGGCGAATACAATCGCGAAGTACGGCATCCGATCAGATGATCTCTATAACTTTGATGAGACTGGCTTTCTTATGGGCATGATTGCAAGCGGAATGGTTGTCACAGGTGCAGAAAGGCGTTCAAAGCCGAAATCAGTGCAGCCTGGAAACCGGGAATGGATTACAGTCATTCAAGCGATTAATGCGGAAGGCCAGGCGATCCAGCCGTTCATCATCGGTGCGGGCCAATATCACCTCGCCAACTGGTACCGAGAAAGCAACCTCCCGGGCGATTGGGCCATTGCGACGACCCAAAATGGCTGGACCGATAATGAGACTGGTCTAGAGTGGCTAAAGCACTTTGACCGGTGTACAGCTAAGCGATCAAATAGTCGCTATCGTCTCTTAATCCTTGATGGCCACGAAAGTCACCACTCCATCGAATTCGAGAGATATTGTGAGGAAAAGAAGATCATCCGGCTTTGTATGCCACCTCATTCCTCTCATCTGCTCCAGCCCCTTGACGTCGGGTGCTTTAGCGTGCTGAAGAAGGCTTATGGTCGAGAAATAGAGCATCTGATCAGATGTTCTATAACCCACGTTTCAAAGACGGAGTTCTTTCCGGCCTTCCACGCCGCACACAAGGCCACTATGACGGAAAGAAATATCAGGGGGGCTTTCAAAGGAGCTGGGCTTGTTCCTCTTGACCCAGAAACTGTGATCTCAAAGCTTGATGTTCAGCTACGGACGCCAACGCCGGTTGAGGAGGCAGCTGAGCCGTCGACCCCTTGGGCTTCAAGGACCCCAAAGACCGTGATTGAGGCCGGATCTCAGTCTGAATACCTCGAAAGGCGGATCAGAAGGCATCAAAGTAGCTCCCCAGAGTCAATTTTAGAGGCTCTACAGTCTCTTGCGAAGGGAACAAAGGCTGTTATGCATCGGGTTGCCTTATTGACCGCTGAGAACAAAGACCTTCGAGAGGCAAATAAGATACTAAGCCGGCGGCGGAGGGCAAAAAGGACTAGACTGCAGAAAAGAGGGGTAATGACGGTAGAAGAAGGAAGGCAAGCAATTGATCAAATGGATGTGGATGCGCAGGTAGTGGCCGAATCGTCGAGGAGTGGTGGTCGAGGAAGGTCGGTCGGACCGGGTGTTCGGCGCTGTGGTGTATGCGGCAAGCCCGGCCATAATGCAAGGACCTGTCAGGTAGTGATTGAGACATCTGGGGAAGGGTATAGTGAGTAGTTTTAATTGATTAAATGGTTTATGGTGTTTTTATTGCGATTTCTATCTAGAGGGGGAGGGGAAAGTGGCACACTTGCTTGACTGGCTCACTTGCTTATCAAGTACGTTACCTAAGTCATCATAAAAATATCACAAAATAGTCTAAGAGGTTCGCGTATTTTTATTATTTCCATTACATCCTCTTTACTAGATTTAGAGGAGAATAATCTAATATGTCCGTCTGAATATGTCGTTTTGTCGTGGACCCGTGTGCACTAACGGAGCTTCTTCCAGTAGAGAGCATCCACCTTGACAGTCCCAAACCGCAACAACGGCCACGACTGCACCCTCATTCGCAAAGTCCTTCGCCACGTAGCAAGGAGATTCTGATCGAACGACGCCATGTGTGGCTCCCTCTGCTGCGAACACAGCATGTAACAGAAAAGTCCGGGATATGATAGACAGTGCCTTGTGTAAGATGGCCAAAACGCGGACTGGTGGCTTGCATCGAGGCTGCGGATGAACTTGATGATGGTCTGTACAAGACCGCGAGAAGCTTGCAGCACGGTTCCTACAGACGGTTGGAGATGGTCTAGGTGGATGCTGCTGTTGATGATGGGGCGTAGGAGAGCGCGGAGAACTAGGATGTGTGTTGTGTAGTAGGCGACGTAGAGTGAGGCGTGGCTCTTGACAGAGTCGTCTGCCTCGGCGTCTTCTGCCGTGGGCTGGATGTGAAGAGACTCGGGAAGATTTTCCAGCCAGTCTAGTAGTTTCTGACGGGGGCCACGGGCCTGTTCGATTAGAGTGTCTAGTGTCTGTGGCCGAGACACGGCACGCAGAGAGCTGCAGTCCGCTTCGTCAGTCATCTTCATGCATCAGGTGTCTACGGTATTGGCAAAAGTACTCACAAGAATCGCCGACATACGCTCATTGAAATGCCTGTCAATGAGCACATATGTATGAAATAGTCGGGATCTTGATGGCCAGTATCGTCAAGATGACCAATATTTGCATCAATAACAAAGTCGTCAGGAGTCGGAGGCGAAACGTCCCAATCGTCGTCATGTAGCATCGATGATCTACCATGAGTAATGGATCGCCAAGTATGCTCAACGACAACAGTCCACCATAATCGTCTACGCAGTCGAATCTCCCACGGTGGGAGGTTCCATCCCGTCGGGTCAACATTCAAGCCCAGTGACTGCGCCATGGCAAGCATGGACGCTGCAAGCGACCAAAAGAACGGGCTCTCTACCACAGCGGTGTCGAAAGGCATGTGGTTGATAAGTAGGATGAAGATTTGAATGGTCGATAGTCTGGGGAAGTGTAGCTCTCTTTGAAGACAAGTGTATGAGATCTTCCAGAGAGCATCGATGCTTGGTTTTGAGTAAGCGCTGCTAAGACACAGCTTCTCGTCCCAGGCTGTAAAAGGTGAAGCCAGTGCATATATGCCTGCGAGAAGTCCTGTAGGTGCCTCTGCTACAAAGGCTTCTATGTCTTGTAGCACCAGTGATCGGGAAAGGATGGGTAGAGACTCAAAGATGAACCGAAAGTATCTAGGCTGTGTGAGCATGATCAAAGTGGAGAGTATAGATCACATACAGTTTCACCAGCGCAACACCTGCAGTTTTGTCAACCAGTTTCTCGAGGTTCTCCCGATCATCATTCGTCGACATGCACTCGTCAATGACTCGGCGTGCTTCGATGGCTGTCTCAGTCTGGCTCTGTAGAAAGTGGAGCGGGGGGTATCCAGGTACTTCGCCACTCCTCGCTGAGAACCTGCGGTAGGTGACTCGGAAGAAATCGACTTCCTCCTGGTCATTGTATGGAAAGTGCTCGAGACCGAAAGGATCTGACTCATTCGAATACCCGATGAGCTGGGTGAAGTGATCGGGTCTTTGGTCGAGAGAGAGTCTTTCCAATGGTATGCTAGGACTCGCTGGTGTTTCTGTAGACATTCGGTTCACGGCTTCCACGTTTTGCAGATCGTCCAAAGGGCTCTCACCCTCAAGAGGTCCGAGATCTGGTAACTGGCCGTCTCCAAGAAATTGAAAAGCCCCGTCACCTCTCTCGATACTTGGTAGGGCTGTGTGGTTCATCGAGAGGTCCCAGTCCATACCTCCATGGCTTGACCACATGGCATCCGAGATGATTGTGTCGAGACGAGGCAAGTCCTCGCCTGCGACTTGGTCAGCTTGAACATGTCCACCTAAGCCCAAGTTAGTCGAGAGTAGTCAAGTGAGCTAGGTGAAGTCTTTTAATACCCGTTATTCCCAGCATTTCCTGGTGTCTACTGTCATCTACCTGCTGCTCTGAAACTTGGATAGTGTCGGTAAAAGCCACAGACTCCCTTGCTGGGGGAGCCACCGGAGGCGTGCCCCCGCTCTGAGCTCGAGAAGCTCTATCGCGTTGCTTCTTCCCCGGATTGCCTACAAAAGTGCACAGCCGCGATGTCCGCTCGCAGAGCTGGCATGGTTGCCCTGGCTCCGGGATGTTGCAGAGCACCTTGCGAGCGCGACACAGGTCGCATGGCCGTTGCGACTTGGACCGATATCGCCGCGAGCCGGCGACGGCACGAGTGTTGGGTTGTGATTGTAACGGAGGCGTTGTATTGAGCTGGGTATCATAT